AAGATTTCAAAGCATTCGGTTTTGCAGTTCATGATTAAATCAAAAAAATAAATTTACGCATTCATTAATTTTTTTGAGTCACCCTGTATATGCAAATCCAAAAAATATGAATGGAGTGATAGATCACAAGTACAGACTGATCATATTTTGTACATTTTAGATATGATTTATTCGGCACACTTTCGAGCTGACGTCATCAAGTTTTTGGAGGGGATAAGCAAATATATTTTGACTAAACATTTATTATGCTCTTTATGACCTTAAAACATCTGCAAGATTTCAGAGCATTCGGTTTTGTAGTTCCTGATTAAATAAATAAAATATATTTACGCATTCATTAATTTTTTTGAATCACCCTGTATATGCAAATCCAAAAAATATGAATGGAGTGATAAATTACAAGTACAGACTCATCATATTTTTACAGTTTAGAAGGATTTATTCGGCAAACTTTCGAGCTGACGTCATCAATTTTTTGGAGGGGATAAGCAAATATATTTTGACTAAACATTTATTATGCTCTTTATAACCTTAAAACATCTGCAAGATTTCAAAGCATTCGGTTTTGTAGTTTCTGAGTAAATCAGTAAAATAAATTTACGTTTTCATTAATTTTTTTGAGTCACCCTGTATATGCAAATCCAAAAAATATGAATGGAGTGATAGATCACAAGTACAGACTCATCATATTTTGTACATTTTAGATATGATTTATTCCACAAACTTTTGAGCTGACGTCATCAAGTTTTTGGAGGGGATAAGCAAATATTTTTTGACTAAAGATTTATGATGCTCTTTATAGCCTTAAAACATCTGCAACATTTCAAAGCATTCTGGTTAGCAGATTGAAAATTAAATTTCAGAATGTTGTTTTATAATTTTGATTTTTTTTCCAAAAATCTGGACGTTTCGGGTGAAAAGTCGATTCGGAGTTGTAAACTACATGTGTAGGACTATGTTATTTTATTCAATTGAAAACCCATTTACTATGTACAATTTTGAAGTGACGTCATCGCATTAGTGGTGGGGATGATTAGACAAATTTTGGTTAGCGTTTTACCATCTACATCATATTCTTAATATAAGTACAAAATTTCACAACAATCGGTCCAGTACTTTCGGAGATTATCTGTCTAATAAAAATCCGGGACGGCAGACGGACAGACGGACGGACAGACGGACGGACAGACGGACGGACAGACGGACGGACAGACGGACGGACAGACGGACAGACAGACGGAAATGGGAGACCTATTTCTTCGTCTTCTAGGGGTCATGAAAGATCGAGAAAACGTAAAAGTAGAGAGTCGGCCGACGGACTCGATTACAATACTTCCTTTGCTTACGCTCGGGAAGTAAAAACAAAAATTATGATCAAAAATAAAAGAAACGAATATTTAAAAATCAGTAAAATGAAAAATAAAAATCTAGAAATTGAAAAATTGAGGAATCGAAAAATTGAAAAATTAAAAATTAAGAAACCGAAAAATTGCAAACTAAAAATTTGAAGAACTGAAATTGTGAAAAATTTGGGTCGAAAAATGGAAAAATTGAAAAATTTAAGTTGAAAAAAAGAAAAATTATAAAACCAAAACATTGAGAAATCGATAAATTGTAAAATTAAAAATCGAGAAAGAAAGAAATTATAAATTGAGAAACGAAAAATTGAAAAATCTTGAAATAAAGAACCTGAAAACTTGAAACACGAAAAATTCAAAACCGAAAAATTGCAATTCGAAAAATTGAAAAATTCAAAAATTTAAAAACCCCACATTGAAATAAAAGAAAAATCATAAAATAAGAACACTGAAAAACCGAAAAACTAAAAAAAACAAAAAATAAATACCGACACGAAAAATTACAGATCGAAAAATTAAAAAAAAACGAAAAATTAAAAATCGAAAGAAAGAAAAGGAACTGAAAAAACGAAAAATTGTGATAAAAAATTGAAAAAATGAATATTTGAAAATCGGGAAAATGAAAAATAAAAATCTAGAACTTGAAAGACTGAGGAAACGAAAATTTGGAAAACCAAAAAATTAAAAATTGAAAAAGCGCAAATTTGCAAAACGAAAATTTGAAGAACCAAAAAAATGAAAAATTTAAAAAATTGAAAAGTTGAGAAATTGAAAAATTGAAAAATCAAAACAAACAAACTGGAAAATCGAAAAGCCGAAAAATCGAAAAATCGAGAAATACAAAAATTCCATAAATGAAATTGGGAAATCAAAAATTGTCAAAAATCGAAAAATTGGAAAATCGAAAAGCGAAATATAGAAAAACCGAAAAACAAAAAATCGAAACATCGAAAAATTAAAAAAATAAACACTGAGAAATCGAAACGCCAAAAAATCGAGAGATCAAGAAATACAAAATCCAAAATTTAAAAAATTTTAAAATTGAAAAGACAAAAATTGGGAAATCAAAAATTGAAAAATCGAAACAAAAAAATTGGAAAATCGAAAAGACGAAGAATTGAAAAATTCAAAAAATAAACATTGATAAACTGAAACATCAAAATATCGAGAAATCGAGAAGTCAAAAAATTAGAGATGTACCGACTACAGTCGGCCGACTGTTTATAAATGCAACAGACAGTGGGTTTTTTTTTTCTATTTCTCTGACTACCTTAAAAACTTGTTTTATTTTAATAAAAGAAATAACTGAAGTTTCTTTTTTTTTCCAAAAAATGTGTTAAATTTTTTTGGATAATTTTAACATTTAATTTTTTGTAGTAACGCAGTACAAAAATAAAGAATAACACAATTTAGGGCAGTTTATACAATACTTAACCAATTTTAACCACTTTTTTGGAAAATTTTTGGAAATTTTTAATTCGCTTTGCGTGTTTATTGGACCATATATCGTGGCGGCGATTTCAGAATCGTAACTAGCGGAAAATTATCTACACTTTGACACCAATTTTCGGTCGATTAAACTAATTTTAACCGGTTTTGACAAAGCCGACTAGTCGGCCGACTGTAGTCGGTACATCTCTACAAAAAATCGAAAAACTGAGAAATCAAAATAGGCCAAAATCGAAAATTTGAAAAGTTAAAATTAAAAAAATCGATAAATCGAAAAAAAAAATTACAAATTTTAAAACTGCCCACCCACCCTCTCTTTTCTAAAAGGGGTATCTCATTTGTCAAAATCATAGAAGGATCTGATTTGCCAAAATCAGTCTTATAGTGGCAGCTACTAGCCCCACTCACCCACCCTTTTCTACAAGGTATCTCATTTGCCAAAATCTGTCTTATTTTAGCAGGTATTAGTCCCGCCCACCCATTCTTTCTTTTCTTAGAGGGTATGTCATATGCCAAAATCAGTTTTATCTTAGCAGTTACTACATAGAATAAGACTGACTTTGGCAAATGTCATATCCTGTAAGAAAAGAGAGGGTGGGTGGGCGGGGCTAGTATCTGTTAAGATAATACTGATTTTAGCAAATGACGGGGTCCCAAAATTAACTCAAAAACAGGTCAGGTCAGAATTTTCCAAGAACAGAACACCAAAGTCCCCAAAATTTGTCCCAAATAATTTATAAATAAAATCTCCATGGGCTCCCAAAATAATACAGCATGGGTACTCAAGTGTCTCCCAATTAAAAAAAAAAAAACACTGCGGCACTCACGACTTTTTCAAATTCGTAAAAAATAAAACACTGCAAGCTCAAAAGATATTTTTAAGTTCATCCGGCAACAAAACAATCCTACTCACAAAAAAGAATGACAAAGAATTTTGCGATTAATAAAAATTATCCTAGAGATTTTATTCCTAATTTAGCTTCTTTAAGAGGACCATTAAGAGATTTGTTAAAAAAAGATACTGTTTGGTCATGAAATGAAAGTCGTAGACAATTATTGAAAAATTTAAAAGATATTACAAATTCACCAGTTTTAACAAATTTCAATTTCAATTAAAAATAATGTTACGAAAGAAACCCATACGCCACCCTGGTACGACGCCTATGAGTCATCGAAAGTTTTCTAGTAGGTATGCACTAATCGTTGTTGACGGCGGCCGAGCGGCGTTCGAAAAGCCTGGAAACGGAAGTCGTGATGGGTATTCGAGAAAGACCTCGATCGCAGAAGTATAGGTTTAAATAGAGGCCACCTTCGGGAACGATTCATTCATTCAGCCAGTTGAGTCAAGAGAGTCCAGTCAAGTTGCGCTGGAATTATTTTGTTTTTGAGTGTTACCCACGCCAATTTTAATCACCGGTTCAACGTAAAGAATTTTTGAAAACCTATGAATTTAAATATGTATAAAAAAGTAACCGTTGATTTTTGCCGCTTTGTCGAAATACGTAACGTACGTAACATAATCGGCAAAGTGAGCATTAGATAATTTTAAATTACCAGTAGTGGGTCGATAGGATAACTATTTAAATAAGCGAAAGTTGAGTTCGAAGTTCATTTTGAATCAAATAAATTTTATAACACCTTTGAAAACCATAATTAATTGAGAGATATCTTCGGATATGCGTAACAGTGCCATGGTTTTTGGTGATGAAAACTCTCAAAAACCTCAAAAAGATCGAGAGCTTGTAATAACACTTTTTGTAATAACACTTTTATTAACATTTTTCCTTTCCTGTTCAAATGTGGTGCTAAAACACACAATCTTGTCTTATCACCGTTAGCAACGACTTAATTAAGTTGATTATATTATTTTTAATGTGGTTTTATTGCTGGTACACGCAACTGTACAAATACGTCTACACAAAAGGAGATTAAAATAAATCAATCAAACTCTCACATAAAAACAAGTTTCGTTGAACATTCAAATAAATAAAACCATAAATCACAATATTTATAATTTTTAATGCAAATATAATGGTAAAAGTTTCAACACGACACACTAAATCCATGTTTTAAAAACATTCTCAATCTTACACAAGATGAATAAAAAGCGACGAGATAATGCGCCTAGAATTATCAACCCGATATCACGGACATAAACATTTACACAAAGTGTTAACTTTCGTAAAACAATACGCATCTCTTTAATCCGCCAATTATCCACTTGTACAACAATTTAAATACCACACAACCCATTGATTAACCACTGTAATGACCCACGTCACAATCAACCATTCAAGGTAAAATTTGGTAACTTGCTGGTATTTTCACAGTAGCTGGTTTTAACCACCCATAAAGCATTCGCCCCATCGTGCAATGACTGGCGAATTCCGCAAAAACCAAAAATCAGTTCATCATCCTGGCGATAATTTCCAGTCTGCTGGTCATTCGTCGAAATATTTAGAATTTTCGAACTCCCGGAAAATAGAACAGAGACGAAAAATTGATGTCATCAGTCGGAATTAGTTCATCAACACGTTGAGACATTAACATGTAACGATTTTATGGCCAAAACAAGGACAGCCCATTCAGAGCGGAAAATTTATACGTGCGGCTAGGGACTAGTCCGGCGAATCCACCATTTGTGCCCAAGGACGAGCTTAAGTCGCCCGTCTTGAGATCGTGCTGATGGTAGTGAGAACCAACGACGTCTTTCAGGAAAATCGGGATTGGCGGACCCATGCAAGAACGGACCCGAATGCGAATGCATCGACTGATAAAGGCCCAATATAATCGTTTTGTCCATGAAAACGACACGCAATTACAAATCCATAAAGTATGTAAAATCCGCGCTTGGAATTGCACAAGTGTGAGTGTTTGGTAGTGAGCAATGACCATCCAGTGACCCGAACATTTGATGCTTTCCCGGAAGCTGGGACAAAGGCACATCCGGATGGCGCGGACACCAAGGCCCCATAGCCTCATCGGTGGCTGCCCCCAGCGAACCATCAGTCGGTGAGTGCAGGTGCCAGTGATTACAACTAACCAAGGAGATACTAGTAAGTGGCTACCGTAACCCTTGCGATAATTAGTAGTGGATTTAGCACCATGGGTCATTTTTCAAATTTTTCGAAAAAAAAAAACAAAAATTGGTGGTGGGTTTGTGGTGGTTTTGGTTTTTGGACAAGTGATAATTTCAAAATACAAAACAAAAAACTGAATTTTTGACTCTGATAACGCTTAGGCCATGTAGAACTACGAGGTTATTAAAGTTAACAAAAAAACGTCGCAAAACTTTTTTGACACTGTTGAAGCAATTTTGGAAAATTTTGGTGTACTAAATACGAAAAATTCGCCACAAAATGTCAACTGTCTGTCAAAATTTTGTTCCAATTCATTCAATTTATTCATTCAAGTCACGAACGCGATTATCATCCCCGATTTTAGGGGAAAAAAAGTGTTTAATCCCTCGATATTTGCACGTTTTTTTCAAATTTTGACACACTTCGATACCCCGAGAGTTTCAAGTTTCTTCCTCAATTGAGTTTTCTTGTAAACAGTTACCTTGTGGTACGATTTACAATTCCCATGGTCAGATACAACAATAAGAGTCCATTAGTTGGGCATAACCCTTTCGTGTAAATTTAAAATGTGACAAGACCATAGAGCACCAAGAGCGTGGTCTGGAGTATATAACTGGATATAATTTACAAGCTTACGGTTTTATCAAATTTACTGCAAGCAATATTTTATCAACACCCAAATTTAAAAGTCGTTAAAATCCAAAAAACAAAATTGTCTTTACAATATCTCGTTTTCCCAAAATAGGTCTATATGTAATAACAATTTCTACTCTTCAAGGTGAAAGCTGTAATATGTTAAACGGATACTTTTCAAGCTACTAATAAACGCTAATTGTAAAATAAACTCAACATTTGAAGGTTACCTACCTGATGAAGACATTATGTAAAACATCGTTCTACAAATAACATATTTATTTATAATTCTATTAGAAAAGTCATTAAAAAAATTGGTCTAAAGAGTTTAGACAGTACTTCCCTCGCTGTCGGAAACTTGACGACTGCATGCCTATTGTGTTTTTTTTCTCATTACATTTTTGTAGTGGGAATTTAAAAAAAAATGCGATGACGTCATCAACATTTTTGCAAGGACACGTATATCAGTTGGGATAGATGTAGTGTAATACTAAGAATAAAATTATTATATTCTCAAATTTTCGGGAAAATGAATTGGATCGTTTTGAATATTGATTTGTAATAATCAATAAAATAACGAAACAATTTACTCACGTATACGTATCAGCGGCAACTGAAAATCGTGTATGTATAAACATTCTTAATTTAAGATGACAGGCGTAACAGCATACGTGAGAGTCAAACAGAGAAACTGTAAACAAAACGACCATCGGTTTTATTGCTTCGACTTCCGCTTATTATATAAAACATTGGGTTTTATTTTAATTCTTGACGGTGAAATTCACAATTGGTTGATTATAAACATGTCTATTTCACATTCGCGGAACCAAATGAACGCATAAAACAAATGCAGGTCTGTAATGTTAAAGTCGATGTAAATAAGCGTGCTACCCTTATGTTTCAACCGAGTTTTTCCTTTAACAAATTTTGTGTCTACCAAATTGGGTTGGTTGGGGTGTAATACTAATAATAAGTGTTGCCTTTAATTTAATCAATAAAATAAATTGACTTCATTAATTTTTTTGAACCGCCTCTTAAGAAAATCTAAAAAATATGAATGGAATGATAAATCACAAGTACAAACTCATCATATTTTTTGCATTTTAGATAAAATTTATTCATCAAAATTTAAGGGTGACGTCATCAATTTTTTTAGGAGGGATGAACAAATACATTTTGAACAAAAGTTTACCATGCTTATAATAACTTTAAAATATTCCCAAGATTTCAAAGCATTCGGTTTTGTAATTCCTGATTAAATCGATAAAATAAATTCACGCCTTCATTAATTTTTTTGAGTCACCCTGCATATGCAAATCCAAAAATATGAATGGAATGATAAATCACAAGTACAGACTCATCATATTTTTACAGTTTAGATAGGATTTATTCGGCAAACTTTGGAGCTGACGTCATCAATTTTTTGGAGGGGATAAGCAAATATATTTTGACTAAACATTTATTATGCTCTTTATGACCTTAAAACATCTGCAAGATTTCAAAGCATTCGGTTTTGTAGTTCCTGATTAAATCAATAAAATAAATTTACGCATTCATTAATTTTTTTGAGTCACCCTGTATATGCAAATCGAAAAAATTTGAATGGGATGATAAATCACAAGAAGAGACTCACCATATTTTGTACATTTTAGATAGGATTTATTCAGCAAAATTTTGTGGTGACGTCATAAATTTTTTAGGGGGGACGACCAAATACATTTTGATCAAAAATTTACCATGCTTATGATAATTTTAAAATATCTTCAAGATTTCGAAGCATTCGGTTTTGTAGTTCCTGAGTAAATCAGAAAATAAATTTACGCTTTCATTAATTTTTTTGAATCACCCTGTATATGCAAATCCAAAAAATATGAATGGAGTGATAGATCACAAGTACAGACTGATCATATTTTGTACATTTTAGATATGATTTATTCGGCAAATTTTCGAGCTGACGTCATCAAGTTTTTGGAGGGGATAAGCAAATATATTTTGACTAAACATTTATTATGCTCTTTATAACCTTAAAACATCTGCAAGATGTCAGAGCATTCCGTTTTGTAGTTCTTGATTAAATCAATAAAATATATTTACGCATTCATTAATTTTTTTGAGTCACTCTGTATATGCAAATCCAAAAAATATGAATGGAGTGATAAATGACAAGTACAGACTCATCATATTTTGTACATTTTAGATATGATTTATTCGGCAAATTTTCGAGCTGACGTCATCAAGTTTTTGGAGGGGATAAGCAAATATATTTTGACTAAACATTTATTATGCTCTTTATGACCTTAAAACATCTGCAAGATTTCAGAGCATTCGGTTTTGTAGTTCCTGATTAAATCAATAAAATATATTTACGCATACATTAATTTTTTTGAGTCACCCTGTATATGCAAATCCAAAAAATATGAATGGAGTGATAAATTACAAGTACAGACTCATCATATTTTTACAGTTTAGATAGGATTTATTCGGCAAACTTTCGAGCTGACGTCATCAATTTTTTGGAGGGGATAAGCAAATATATTTTGACTAAACATTTATTATGCTCTTTCTAACCTTAAAACATCTGCAAGATTTCAAAGCATTCGGTTTTGTAGTTTCTGAGTAAATCAGTAAAATAAATTTACGCATTCATTAATTTTTTTGAGTCACCCTGTATATGCAAATCCAAAAAATATGAATGGAGTGATAGATCACAAGTACAGACTCATCATATTTTGTACATTTTAGATATGATTTATTCCACAAACTTTTGAGCTGACGTCCTCAAATTTTTGGAGGGGATAAGCAAATACTTTTTGACTAAAGATTTATGATGCTCTTTATAGCCTTAAAACATCTGCAACATTTCAAAGCATTCTGGTTAGCAGATTAAAAATTAAATTTCAAAATGTTGTTTTATAATTTTGATTTTTTTTCCAAAAATCTGGACGTTTCGGATGAAAAGTCGATTCAGAGTTGTAAACTACATGTGTAGGACTATGTTATTTTATACAATTGAAAACCCATTTACTATGTACAATTTTGAAGTGACGTCATCGCATTAGTGGTGGGGATGATTAGACAAATTTTGGTTAGCGTTTTACCATCTACATGATATTCTTAATATAAGTACAAAATTTGACAACAATCGGTCGAGTACTTTCGGAGATTATCTGTCTAATAAAAATCCGGGACGGCAGACGGACAGACAGACAGGCAGACAGACGGACAGACGGACAGACGGACAGACAGACGGAAATGGGAGACCTATTTCTTCGTCTTCTAGGGGTCATGAAAGATCGAGAAAACGTAAAAGTAGAGAGTCGGCCGACGGACTCGATTACAATACTTCCTTTCCTTACGCTCGGGAAGTAAAAAATGGTCGAAAGATAACCTATATAAAATGAAAACCAGTGCTGTAATAACACAACTATAACCAACTTAACTTCGACTGTTTATGTTTATACTTCGAAAATTTGCCCGATTTTGTCTCCTCAATCATACTCAGTTTTCCAAACTTACTTATTTTTAAGACGACTATTACAAAAATGCAAAACACCTTTATTCAGTCAACTAACTACTCAAACACCGTCTTCAAAAACAACTCCGGCACATGATAGCACAGAGTTTCCGGTACATCGCAGCCCAACTCGCACAACGTAGGTGCTATCTCCTGGACGATATAAGGATAAATCTCGTTCACCTTATGTCCGCATCGATCTTTGACCGCTTCCAGAAAGCGCACCGTCATAGCGTAATCGTTGACCCTTCGGCACGCATGAAGGGCCGCTATTATCACCGAAGGTTCGGGTACTCCTTCGTACCCCAACAGATCGTTCATCCCTTGACGTATGTCCCATCCGTCGATATCTTCCCGATTGAAGAAGCACTCATATCTGAAAGAAAGGGACGGGAGGGATAAAAACGGGCCACTTGTGTACCTAGATCGACCTCCAACGAATGATAATCGACTTCTGGACCGCCCACTTTAATGCAAATTTGGAACGAGGTCGACACAACAATGGAACTAAGACCTTATTTCTACAAATCGAAGAATTTTAACTTTCTTCCGTGATAAGAGATGACAACAACAAATTTATCGAACGATATTTTTAGAAGTATTGTTTACATTACTCGACGATGATAGTGAGTGCAAATTGATCTAAAACGTGCTGTCAATAAAAAATGAAAATCGTCGAGTAAATAAAGAGGTTAAAATTTTATATCAAATCATATGCGTCAATTGTGACGTAGGTTATTTATTGGTACCGTTTGATACAAAATGTTGATATTAAAATTAGTACCTAAATTGATGTTGGTTTAATTGCGTTCATCAACACAATAGTTACATAAACTTTTAGCAGGATTTTTTTCAAAACAAGTTGACTGTTCTTATCAAACAAAGAAAACAACTTAATTTTTTAGAGTCAATAACTATATGTTGTGTGTTAACCATCCTGATTGATGTTATCTAAATGCATGTTTACACGCGCCACTAATCTTAAAAATACCTTAAATATTTTGCGTTTCAAGAGGGATAATAAACGATCTTTCCAGATTATGAACGAACAATGTAAAACTAAAGCCGGTCAGATTTTTTAGTGATGTTTTTTTTGGAACTATTACGCTTACGAGTTACAAAAAGTTCTAAAATAAAAAAATAAATAATAGCTTATAGTTGATCACCTCAAAAAGGACACGAATAGAAAACTTTGACCGTTGTTCCCCCATTAAACTTACTATAATTAATAACAATTATTATTATTACACCGCAAGAATAAAAAGGGCATTTTAAACATATATATAGCCGTACAATTAAATTTATAGCACACTGATGTCACCCCAATAAAATTAATTTTTCCGGTTTTTCAAATCTTCGACGCAAAATATTTGTGACAGATTTTGCAAAAGTGCTAAAAATAGATTCGACGCGACGAGCGTTATAGCGAAGAAAGTAACCTCAAGTGTCAATTAGATATTAATATTCAACCTGATTGTACGAAACAAACAAAAACAAAATCGATTTTTCTGTATTTTTCCTTTATAATAAACACATGGTACTGTTTATCCGGTCGAGATGACCAAGCACTTCCAAGCAAAAGATCAACCCATTCCTATTTAAATTAAGTTGATCTAACTAGTTGTGCTAATCTAGTTTTAAAGCATGTGGGTTTAGTGTTCCATGCCATTTCCGACCATATTATAAAATCCACAACTCCTCATAAAATTATCTTAATTACGCGATGATACAGACGAACAACTCTATTATAAAAATAAGAAAAAAAATTCCCCACCAACCACATTCTTACCTGCAAGTGAGATCATCATCATGTATTCTGTGTGTAATACTCCTATTCGAACTCAGAGTTTTTGAGAATTGTCTCAAAAGTCGAGCACCGATAGTTTTAGCCAACGCCATCTGCAAAAAGGTAAAAATTTAAATATCGTACCCTTTGTTCCATGCAAATTCGTTTCAATGCCAAATAAAAAATACACATCGTGTCTGGCGCAAAAAACCGACCGTTACATAGAGGAATAACCTTTTTTTCTCGTTTGTCCTTACGCTCCGACCAAATTATGCCATAAAATGTATAATAATCAATGCATTTGGTAATTAGAAGACCGTTTGACATGATAAACACGATACGCCTGATAAGCACGCAAGGTCAGAGCACTTAACGTGACATAATGTGTGTAATAAGTAATAACCACCCCGGACCACCTGGTGCACCCAATGCAAATTTCGTCCTTCGATTTTTCGACGAACCCGTCACAGGTCCGCTTTTTCTCTAGAAACCCCCGACGCAAAAGTCCCAAAACTCCCAAATTCCTAGCACCGATGTGTCATTGGTTGTTCCGCTTGGTTCCACCGTGACCGATGGCCAGATAGACCGTACACCATGAGCTTATTTTGTTCAGGATGTCAGCTTCCTGCTTCTTTGTCCGAATCTGTTGCATAGCACGCGAAACTTTCGCATGCGCCGCTTTGGTCCCCCAAAATCCCCCAAAAAAGATCTTCGCCATCTTCCCATGACTGACCCCGTTTAGGTCGTGGGAATCCGGAAGGACGGAACCGATGCATCCAGTTCCTCTTTGTCCGAATCGCATTGTCCCATTGTCCATTCAACCCCCACCAGGACCCGGTCATCAATATACAATCAATCGTCGATTTGTTCGCAGAAAGAAAAGTATGTCCAGATAGTGAACATCGAATCCCAGATCAGATCAAAATGAAAAGTTATCCGTATGTTCCCAGTATGGTGCACGCGATTACAGTTCTAACGGTTTTGAAGATGATGACGAAAGGTACGAATGGGGAGTCGTGAGGGTATCGATTGACTTGGTGTGTTCTAGCCCAAACATCTTGTGGCTCTGGGTCGATCAACGGCAGGGTGATGTACGAAAGGTTGCCTAATATACAGCTGCAAGGGTTCGATGATGACGTGGTTAGGGACTCGGCACCTCCATTCAGCGTCTTGGAGAAGTGCGAAGATCTGTGTCTGAGGGATCGGGCGTCGAACAACATAGTCCGGGCTTGTGCGTCTTTTGATTTTCAACCCGGCAGCCGAGTCGCCACGTTCAATGGAGGCCCGGAGTACGAAGAATCGACTTGTTACTTAACAGCGGAGCAAGCCAGGCCCGAAGGAATCGGAAGTTTAATGCTAGTACCCAACAGTGTACACTTCACCGAAGTCTGTCTAACATGTACGTACCATCACCAAAACCCTTCAAAACCAACAACGTTACTCTTGTAGCAAACAGACTCGAAAGGGACTGTCCAAACAGACGCTACATCTTCGAAAGACACCCCCGCAAGAAGCTCAAGCTTCCCGAATCCGACATCAAGGAAATGATGGCCAGCAACCGAAGCGAATGTGAAGACAAATGTCTGAACGAGTTCAGCTTCGTTTGTAGATCGGCGACTTTCGACAGCGCGATGCGCACTTGTACTTTGAGTAGGTTCACCAGACGGACTCACCCTGAGTTACTCAAGGACGATCCAGATTCCGACTACCTCGAAAACACCTGCTTGAACGGTAAGTACCCTCTCGACTCTTCCACCAAATCATCTTTATCTTCCAGCTGATCGAAGATGCGACGGTCTGGCCGTCTTCATCAAAGAAGAAAACAAGCGACTCGGGGGCCCTTTCGAAGTCGATCTCTTCACGAACCTCACTCTTGAAGAATGCCAGTCGATGTGTGTCCACGCCGAAAAGTATTTTTGTCGATCGATCGAGTACGACGAAATGACCAAGCTTTGTACCCTGTCCGAGGAAGATTCCATCTCGCAGAAGGAAGATATCGGGATCGCGAGTAGTCCCACTCACCATTTCTACGACTTTGCTTGTTTAGACAGTCGTGAGTTTACTAGTATGGTCAGTATTGAAACCCACCTCAATTAGTAAAATTGCCCGTTTCAGCTCGCGGGTCTGAGTATCCGGATAATCACGCGACTTCGCACTTGTTCAGCGGGAAGAAACCGGATACCGCTTTCCAGAGGTACCGGAATAGTAGACTTGGAGGTGAACACCACTCTGAAATTTCTGGTCGGTCGTTGAGTGAGTGTTTGGATGAGTGTCTGCGGCAACCGAGTTTCCAGTGTAAGTCGGCTGAGTACAGCGAAAGACATAGGATATGTCGGTTGACGAAGTTTAGTCAGAAGGACGGGATGCGGATTATTTATGACGCCGACTATGACTACTACGAAAACCTAATGCGTAAGTACTACACAAGTATGCACACACACATAATAGATTTTGGTGTTTTCAACAGTTGGAGGAGATGACACTCAACGACCTGGAGAGGGTTATCCAGGATACCCTGGTGGTGGTGGTGGTGGTGGAGGTGGTGGTGGTGATAGATACAGACCAGGAGGCGGCCGCTTCCCTCCCGGCGGTGGCCGATATCCACCCGGAAGATTCCCTCCGAGCAGTGGAGGCGGCGACTGGTACGATCGACCATCTGGACGTCCTGATCGTTACCCAGATGACAGATACAGACCGCCCGGAGATCGATACCCACCTGGAGGCGATTTATATCCATCGGGAGCCGACAGATACCCGTACAAACCCATCGATAGTTATCCCGATTCGGGGACTCGCTACCCGATTGGACCTCCCGGTGGCGACAGATACCCAGGAAGATACCCTCCGGGTGATAGAGATCGGTATCCTTATATCCCGCCGTCGTCCAGCGGTGGGGGGTACCCTCCCAGTCGGTACCCAGGCGGGCGTTACCCATCTCCTGGAGATCGATACGGAGATCGTTATGGTGACCGATACGGAGATAGATATGGAGACAAACACGGTGGTGACCGGTATGGAGATAAATACGGTGATCGATACGGAGATAAATACGGTGATCGGTATGGAGACAAATACGGTGGTGATCGGTATGGTGATCGTTATGGAGGTTTTAATGGGCGGTACGGAGACAACGACTACTACGGGTCCAAGTACGGCGGAGGTAATCGATACGGGGGTTCCAAATATGGCGGCGGTGGCAATCGATACGATGATCGATATGGCGGCGGCGGCGGCACTCGATACGATGATCGTTACAGCGGGCAGAGTTACTATGGCGACGAGAGAGACGGTGGAAGTCGGTGGTTCTTCCGGCCTGATCGACGACCAGGACGTCCTGTTGACGGAAGGCCTCTGTATGACTCGAGGCCGCCTTATGACTCGAGACCGCCTTATGACAACTCGAGACCACCCTATGACTCGAGACCGCCGTATGACGATAAACCCCATCGTCGACCGATTTCTCCCGGACCCGACGGACCCATCTACGATAACTTCGGCGGGATTGGACCAAACCGACCGTATGCCTCTCGGTGTGACGAAGGCGATAATTTCAAGCAGGTGGGAAGTAGGCAAAGGCTTCGTCGCGAGTTCGTAAGGAAATTCATGAATGCTCCCTCCCTCACCCATTGTCAACGAGAATGTTCGGACGCCAGGGATTTCATCTGTAGGTCTTTCAACTACCGGTAAGGCTCAAGATCGTCTGCTTCTGTCACCGTTTGTAAATTTTTTTTTTCAGAGACTCTCTCGCCGAGGGTGAACGCGACAACTGCGAGCTTTCCGACCGGGATTCCCGCGATCTGGAGATGTCCAACCGACGCTACTTCGACAACACCGGAAACTACGACTTTTACGAACGTGCGATTAGCCGTCAGGGCGTAGACGGAGACTGTCTCGATGGTAAATAACTCTGTAATTTCGGTGAATAAATCTTTCCTAATTGGTACCTCATTTTATTTCTTGCGCAGTCAGCCAAGTCTGCAACGAAGACGGAATGGAGTTTACTCTCAGAACGCCTGAAGGTTTCTACGGCAGGATATACACCTACGGTTTCTACGACCGCTGCTTCTTCCGCGGTAACGGTGGTACCGTCAACGTTCTCCGGATAAGTGGCGCCCAAGGATACCCGGAATGTGGGACTCAAAGATATGGGGATACCATGACCAACATCGTGGTCGTCCAATTTAGCGACTACGTGCAAACTGGTAGGGACAAACGCTTCAACTTGACTTGCTTGTTTAGAGGACCGGGAGAGGCTGTCGTGTCGTCTGGATTCATAGGCGCAGGGTACGTTTTCCCCAGTAACTTTCTTAATTATAGACAGAAATTCCAGGTCTGGAAGCCCTATCCCGATTGAGTATCTTCCAGCTGAGAACACACTCAGTTCGAAGGTACGACTCATGATTCTATACCAGGGAAGACCCACGACGACCATCGCCGTCGGAGATCCGCTAACCTTCAGACTGGAAGCCCAAGATGGTTACAATTACGTTACAGACATCTTTGCTACCAACGTAGTAGCCCGTGATCCATATTCGGGACGATCGGTGCAACTGATTGATCGGATAGGGTGTCCAGTGGACAGTTTTGTTTTCCCAGAGCTGGATCGAGGTCGCAATGGTGACAGTCTGGAAGCTAGATTCAACGCCTTCAAGATTCCCGAGTCCAACTTCCTAGTTTTCGAAGCCACAGTACGCACGTGTAGAGATGGTTGCCAACCAGCTTATTGTCAATCGGGAACAGGAAGATCTGAACCATCTTTCGGGCGGAAGCGACGATCCATAAACGAGACAGTTCTTCTGGAAAGTAACAACACCATCTCGGAGGAGGATTCAAGCGAGAGTAACGAGACCACGGTTTCGTTCCCTGAAGGTACAAGTCACTATTACTTCAGTCAATTAATCTTCTCTACGTTAACGTTCTTTTCAAGGTTCTCGAATTGACAACATCGACGACGGCTCCGAGGAGAAAGAGCCAGAGTCTCCCGAGTACGTTCGCGAGATGATCGAAGTGTTCGACTCCCGCGAGGAGCTCCAGCAGGAGGCGCGTCGCGCCGAGCCCGCCCCCGAGACCGTGTGCCTGTCCCCTGGGGAGTACCACGGGCTCGTGAGCGCCGTCTTCGCCTTAGTCGCCATCCTCCTGACCCTCGCTCTCGTCTCCGGGCTCGCCTATCGCAAGTATTGGGTCGTCATGCGCAAGAACATCCTCGCCGACCGCGCCTCCTCCAACATGTCGTCCTCCTACCCCAACACCCGCAGCAGCGGACTGTCCATCTTCGGCGGCGGCTTGCACAAGCCGTTCGGGGGCGGCTTCGGCCGTCGCAACTTCCCCGGTTTGCCTAAGGACGACATCGAGTGTCCCGGGCCGGCGCCCGGCGGTCCCTTCGAGGACCCCAGCGAGCCCATCTACACCGACCCGTCGCTGTTCGAGAGGTCGCGGAGTCTGCGGAGCATCGCCGTGTCGCAGAAGAGACGGAAGTCGCCCGGACCCCAGAACCAGTAAACTGTGAGGCGTGTTCGGGGCGGCCAACGCTCTAGGTTATTTTGTATTTATTGAAGCATGCTCGAAATTCTGGTGGACGTCCCGAATACCGTAGGTTAGTTAGGGTTAGCGCTAGGTTGATCGTGCATTATTTTTTATCTCGTTGCAATATGGAATTCACTGCCGAAACCAGCTCCAAATGCCGCTCATGTCAAAATATTGTGATCGCAGCGTGAGTGCGGCGTGTTGCTGCACGGATTTGCGCGATTTTTTTTTGTACCTATTGTCTGCCTATGGTGATGCCATACGAAGGCTAACTTCACTATTTCTAGGGCACGGATGCACCCTTTTAGGTTAAGGTCGTCGAGTAGGGCACATGCTGAACGCACTTTGTTGTAAGGACAAATTAGGTTTAAAATTACGTTTAGGTACTTGAGTAAGTCTAGGTAAAAAATTAAAATTATTTAAATTACTTGACTTTTTTTTATTAATGTAAATAGATACTGCAATAAAGTAATAAAAAAATTAAAGACTTTTAATACACTTCACTTGAACACTTTTCTTCCATGAATTTTTCTCTTTGTACATTACCAACTCACCACGAACGTGAGATAAAAACAAACCGATAATCATTAATGGTTACCGTGAATTTTCCACTTGTTTTCCTCAAACGAATTACGTTTTACCATAAATAAAAGCGCAGAATTACCATAGGACTCGACCGATATACCATGAAAGCAAACGGATTAATTTTGATCGCATTCATACTTTTGAAGTGTGGAAGCCGCGTGATTGGCGAAAAACACGAATCGGACGATGAAGATATCAACAGCAACCACACCGAGGTCACGAGAGAGGTAAAATTTGCACAAAAAGATAACCGCGTAATTAAAAATTTCTAGGTGTACTCTGAACCCATCGAGGAAGATAAAACCGGGATCACAGAAACGCCACAAAAAGATTCAAAAACCAAAGAAAAACGGGAAGGCATAACCCATTCCCCGTCTATTAACATCCCATTTCGAAATGAGTCACCAGTCAAAGGTACCTTAAATAAAAAAACAGACGACGAGTTTTATTTTCCACTTGAAGAAATTACAACACAAGAGTACGAAACTGATTTAGAAATTTCCACTCAAATCCAAGAAGCATCAACTACGGACGATGAAATTTTGAGTACTTTGGAGGCTTCGAACGTTGACGAAACCACAGCTTCCACTGAAGAAACGAACAAAGAAGTGGAAGATTTGCTACATCGGACCATTTCGTTCCTACGATCAATACTTAAAACTTTAGAAGCGAAGAACTTCACAAAAATATATAAACCATCGCTACCTGGAGTTCCTTGGATTATAGACACGGTACCAAAACGCACGAAACGCAGTGTTTCAAATTTTTTAGAAACCTGTTCGACGAGCCTTCCATGTCCACGAAGAGGGCTATTTCGTCTGAATGACTCCTGTACTAAATACTACGAGTGCCGTTTTAGCCCGAAATGTCACAAACTGGCACCCAAAATTAGAACATGCCCCAAATGTCTCAAATTCAACGCCCAAGTTGGAATTTGTGACCTTCCAGAACACGTTCCCGAGTGTTCGAGTTTGTCGTCGCAGACGGTATGCACAGGTCCGGGACAATTTTCGGTTCCCCATGACTGTCAAAAGTACTACGAATGCCGAAAGTTAAACGATACGATGCTTTTAGAGGTGAAAACGTGTCCCCCATCTATGGTTTTTAGCCACAAGGAACGCAAATGCGTGAAAGGTAAAAAATGCAGAAAACCTGTCCCCACGTGTGGCCACGGGAAGTCATTTTTGTCGGATAAATTTAACTGCACTGTGTATTATCACTGTAACAATGCAAATCAGCTTGTTCCGTTGGTTTGTCCAGCGGGTTTTGTCTTTAATGGTCATGTTTGCGAAAAATGGGAAGAGTCTAAGTTGAACTGGAATAAGCGAGGTGACGACAGGAAAGTGATTCGCCCCGACTTATTTTAATCTGTCTTAATATTAGAATCTTGAAGTGTATGTACAACGTAAAATAAAGTAAACAAAATGATAACGCTATTTTTAGAAATTACAAGTTCGTTGCGCCGCCACTGTGCAAGTGACCGATATCTTAATCTGCTGAAAAAGGTGTGTGTCTTGGCTATCCTCAAACATAACCTATTTCGAAAATCGGATAGAATTTGTAAAAAAAATCACACTGAACGCATTTTCGTCGTTCTTGCACGTCCTAAATCACTAAAAAGTGGCTAAAACTCGTAACAGTTTCGCTTTTGCGCAATTATTTATAGAAGTGTCACAGTAATTAGCATCCGGGTTTGGCGCTTTCCCGAATTTCACAACCGAGTTATCAAAATCGGTAAATAACATGTGAATTATGGAAGAAAAACCAAAAATGTGAGTATAATTAATTACCTTTCAGTGAAAAATTGCCTCGAAAATTCGTTGAACGCAAAAAATTACACCCAGCAGTGGCACCAACCACTTAACCTTTCAACTCAATTGTTTTCACAGTGTGCTAGATTGAAATAAATTTCTAATTCCTCAGTGGCGTACTTTTAGATTACTGTGTGGGGATGTGGAGGGAAAGTTTAACACACTCTTCAACAGAGTGGCGGCTATTAATAAGAAATCAGGTCCTTTCGATTGCCTTTTCTGTGTGGGGAACTTCTTTGGCATCAATAACAAGGAATTTGCGCTGTATAGAACCGGAGAGAAGAAAGGTTTTTTGTAAATTTAGTGTGACTGGGTGACTTTGTGGTTGTTTTAGTACCAATACCCACATACATTTTGGGCCCCAATAACCCCGACTATGTGAATTTATACCCAAGTGATGACTCAGTGGAGTTGTGCCCTAATGTGTCCTGGTTAGGCAAAAGGGGCGTCTACACAAACAGCAAAGGTTTAAAAATCGCCTATATTAGCGGACTTGCAAGCAAAGAATCCTCAGAACATGAATATTCAAGTAAAGATGTCATGGAACTGTTCAATGCCTGTGTTCGCGGGAATCCGTCGTTTCGGGGGGTTGATATTCTCTTAACGTCACAGTGGCCCTCTGACGTCATGAATCACGACTCTAAAAAAGTATGAAAGTGAAACTTTGGAAAAGTACTCACTTTATGATTTTAGGTTAATTTGACAATTAATAAAACTAGTGATCTTCCCAGCTGGTTGTCGATGAAGTTGAAGCCCCGTTACCATATATCCGGTTTAGAGGGGGTTTACTATGAGCGTGCGCCCTTCAGAGCTCCTACTTTAGGAGAACATGACACTACTTTAAGTATAGTCACTAGGTTCTTGGGGTTGGCGAGGGTTGGTAACCCTAATAAGGATAAATGGTTGTATGCTTTGAGTTTGTCGCCTTTGGATAAAATGAGGGTTGGGGAATTGTTGCAAAAGACGACTGATGAGACAGAGTGCCCTTACAATTTTGACGACATTAATCAAAAAGGTATTTAAAACAATCGGTTGGTAACAGTGATTTTTGATTAGTAACGTAACTGTCAAACAGTGGCGTAACATTCAAGATTTTTTTACGTGATTTTAATTTCAGTGTTCAATGTAAAGAGGAAAGTAGTTTCTTCTAGTCAGTACTTTTACGACACGAGTGCACCGGAGGAACCGTCTGGTGGTGGTTACAGAAAAAAAAGACCTAGAGTTGAGTTTGACCAGAGTAAATGTTGGTTTTGTCTTGCGAGTCCGTCAGTTGAGAAGCATTTGATCATTACAGTTGCAACTTCTACTTATTTGGCGTTGGCTAAAGGTGAGATGCATGTGGCGCCCTCTGTTTACTGAAATGTCATTCTTAGGCGGTATCGTTGATGAGCATTTCCTGATTTGTCCAATTGAACATTACCAGTGTGGCTTAGGGCAGCCGCAAGACGTTATTCAAGAGGTAAACCAGTTTAAAGAGGCTTTGCGGAAATTTTATGACAGAAAAGGACAAGTTGCGGTGTTTTTTGAACGTAATTATAAGACTTCTCATATGCAGCTACAAGCAGTGCCTCTTCCTAAAAAGGCCACTAAAGAACTGAAGGAAGTTTTTATGGTACGTGGGGTTCTAACTACATTCGTATATTTTCGTCGTTTTCATTTAGGAGGAAGCCGAAGGGAACGGTTTGAAACTCGCACTCTTGGACTCGCACAGTCGACTTGACCAAGTTCTACAACCCAAATCTCCCTATTTTACCGTCGAACTCCCAGATGGCGCCACCCTCTACACCACAATCAAAGGCAATTTCCCGCTCAATTTCGCGCGGGAAGTTCTGGTAACCGGTCCCATTTTAAACTGTCCCGACAAGTCCGACTGGAAGGACTGCATCGCCAACAAAGAAACCGAAGAATCTTTAGTCCAGAGGATACGCACCGACTTCGAACCCTTCGACTTCACGAATGACGAAGTCTAACTTAACACAACATTTTATTATTAGTTTGTTACATCTGACATTCTTACAATAAAAAGGTATATCCAAAAATGACAGTTCTTTGAATTCAGCGGAAAGAGGGTAAATTTTGCGTCGTCTTTTATTTATACAATGAGTAATGTTGTGATCGTGTCAACACAAATAGACTAGAGTGTGGAAACCACTGATCCTTCTCATTAACATTATATAACAATCTATAAAATCTATAACATACACTGCTCTATACACTTTATTATCAATTCGTATTTGGCACACCCACGCGGAAGTTAGGGAATTGTCTCCCTCTGAAGGCACCAGCCAACACTAGTTCGCTCCTCCGATACAAAAATAAAAAAAGTCTCTTAGAATAATGGCGGCGGGGCGCCATCTTGATTCCTTATCGGATCAAACAGCTAACCCGATAAGGAATCAAGATTCTGACGGTGGTGTTAAGAACAAGGGACTACACCTTCTGCGCCGCTTTCCTCCGCCCCGCATTCGAATCCCGCGATTGTCTGAGCCCCGCCCTCGCCCCGCCCCTTAAACGTTGATTTGGAACGCCTCTCGCGACAGCTTGGACATGCCCCGCCCCTTGTGGCCCTTCTCGAAGTCGCCCTCGCTCAGCTCCCTGGGGTTCAGATCGGAAAACCTGCTCGGTGGATGTATCCGTTCGTTGAAGCTCGGAGCGTGCGAAATGCTAAACGTCGTCTCGTCGTTGTGGCTCGAGTACCCGCTACTGCTCCTCACGTGGCGCTTGTTCAGGCCGCCGCCCTTGCCCTTGCCCTTCCTCGAGGGGTAGGGCTTGCGGCCGATGCTCCCCGACGGCGGCGACGTCTCCGACGACGATGTCGAGCCCTCGGCGCCCCCTAACGCAGACACAGTTAGTGCGAAATCGCGGTTACGGCCTGTATGTTAAGTGTGTTTACCACGCATTCTATGACTAAACGACATGAGTTCTTGGCTGGTGGCGCGACCGTCGCCTTCCGAGTCCGAGCCGAGAGTGTCGTACTCTGAAATAGGCAGGTGCAGAGTTAGTATCTTCTTCACTTCTGAGTCAGTGCTGCCCAGGTTATCAGACTCTGAAAAATGTTGCTGTTGGTGTTAGATGTTTGGTGCGCGGACCAACGTGTGAGCAGCAGTGGCCCCAAATCTACTACTGAACTACTCACTGGGGAAGGGAGGGGGTACTGTGGCGGCTCGTGGTCGGTCGAAAAATTTGTTAGTGAATTTTAGTTATGACCACCCTGCCCACCCCGACTAGCCGCCACTGGAGCTGGCAAAAATCTTCTGACAACGTCTGCTCTCCTTCTACCACTACTCACAATTGCTTGGAAGGTGGGGGGAGGTTGCGGTGGTTGAAATATAGTACAACGAGATACAAGTGACATTTTCTTGTTTTGGTTAAGTAGTGCGAAGAGAATGTCAGTTGCATAAAACTAAGTCATGCGTGTTTCAGTTCAGGATTTGTGTTATATTCTTTGGTCACCGGTTGTCACCGTGGCCCAATCTAACGACTGTGACGTTGTCAGGTGTAGGGTTTCGGAACCGACTTTTAGGTTTTTCGTGTGGTGGAGGAAACAAACCGAACCAAAATTGTCGAGTCAAAGAGTGCATGTAAACTCCAACCACATGAATAGTTACCTTGACTCTCCGAGTGTGGATCCCTCAGTCTCCCCCCTTTTCTCCGAACTTTGGTATATTCTGGTTCTTTGTTCTGGAAATAACGACGGTGTCAAAAACGTCTACATCATCTAGGGACAAACAATCACAAGTACCAAGACATCTTTTGACCGCTTGTCCCTTTCTACACATCAGCCCCGTAGCTACGGGGGGGCAAGAGGGGGCTGCGCCCCCCCTAGCAATTGTGGTTGCCCCCCCTGGAAGACTTATACATTATAAATTTCAAATTAGTAATAAAATTTCAATATAATGCCGATTGCCGAAGCATATTAACTGGCCCCACCCGCCCCCCCTTTATTTTCTTACAGGGTATATTATTTGGCAATATCACCCTACCGTTGATGTTGACCGTATAAAAAAATGAACATGTCACATTTTATTCCATAGCCTACTATGTACTTGAGAAAAGTCAAAAATATATGGATTTCCTAAAAATTGAGGATTTATTGAAATGGACAAAAAATCGACAAAAAATTCTGAGATGTAGATCTCGATGAGCTTAATCAAAAAACATAAGGTCTTGATGGTCCCAGACCAAGATTTTTCAAAAATTCGGTTTCAAAGTCGACATTTCAAAATTTCTCAAAAATTACATTTCTTTTGGCGGCTCTGGAAAAATTCTACCAATTTTCGAAAAAATAAAACCAAAAAAAAAACATTTGGAGATCGAAATCAATAAAAAGATTCCTTCTGCTAGTTTTCGAAAATGCGTGGGAAAAGTAAAATTTTTTTTATAGATTTTCAAAAATTGAGCTTTTGTTGAAATTGGGTAAAAATTCTGAGATGCAGATCTCGACGAGTTTAGTCAAAAAAAAGGTCTTGCTGGTCCCAGACGAAGATTTTCCGAAATATTCGGTTTCCAAGTCGACTTTTTATTGTTTCTCAAAAATTATACTCCTATTTCTTTTGACGATTCTAGAAAAATTTTACAAATTTTCGATCAAATAAAACCAAAAACAACATCTGAAGATTGAAATAAATAAATGAATGACTTTTGGTAATTTTTGGAAATGCTCAAGAAAAGTCAAAATTTATTTAGTTTTCAAAAATTGAGCTTTTGTTAGAGTTGACAAAAAATTCTGAAATATAGATCTCGATGAGCTTAATGGAAAAACATGTTCATGCTCCCGGAACAAAATTTACGAAATATTGGGTTTCTACCTAAAATTTTTAAAAAATCTCAAAAGTTACTTTAAAAAAAGCTATTTCTTTATGCGATTGTGGAAAAATTCGACGAAATATCAAAAAAATATAACCAAAAATAACATCTGGAGATCAAAATCAATAAAGAGATCCCTCTTGCTAATTTTCGAAGATGCTTGGGAAAAGTCAAAAAATGTATATGGATTTTCAAAAATTGAGCTTTTGTTGAAATTAACAAAAAATTCCGAGATGTAGATCTCGATGAGCTTAATCCAAAAACATAAGGTCTTGATGGTCCCAGACCAAGATTTTCAAAAAATTCGGTTTCAAAGTCGACATTTCAAAATTTCTCAAAAATTACATTTCTTTTGGCGGCTCTGGAAAAATTGTACAAATTTCGAGAAAATAAAACCAAAAACAACATCTGGAGATCGAAATCGATAAAGAGATCCCTTTTGCTAATTTTCGAAAACGCTTGGGAAAAGTCAAAAACATTTTATGGATTTTCAAAAATTTAGCTTTTGTTGAAGTTGACTAAAAATCCACAAAAAAATCTGAAATGTTGATCTCGACGAGCTCAATCAAAAAACACAAGGTCTAGATGGTCCCAGATCAAGATTTTCGAAACATTCGGTTTCAAAGTTCAAAAATTACATTTCGTTTGGCGATTGCTGAAAAATTTTCCGACTTTTCAACCAAATAAAACCAAAAACAACATCTGGAGATCGAAATCAATAAAGGAATCCCTTTCGGTAATTTTTGAAAATGCCTGGGAAAAGTCAAAAATTTTATATGGGTTTTCAAAAATTGAACTTTCCTAAAAGTTGACAAAAAATTCTGAAATATAGATTTCGACGAGCTTAAAAAAACATGACAGGTTCAAGGTTCCGGATCAAAATTTTCGAAATACTCGGTTTCGAGCTCGAATTTTCAAAATTTCTCAAAAATTACCATATTTCTTTTGGCGATTGTGGAAAAATTGCACGCATTTTTGAAAAAACAACCAAAAACAACATCTGGAGATCGAAATCAATAAAGGAATCCCTTTTGGTAATCTCGAACGTGATTTAAAAAAGTCAAAAATTTGATACAGGTTCTCAAAAATTGCCATATTTCTTCCATCGATTCTGCAAAAATTGTAAGAATTTTCAAAAAAATTGAATCCAAAACAATTTTTGGAAATCGAGATAAACAAAGGAATCTCTTTTGATAATTTTTGAAAATGCTTGGGAAAAGTCAAAAATTTTATATGGGTTTTCAAAAATTGAACTTTCGTAAAAGTTGACAAAAAATTCTGAAATATAGATTTCGACGAGCTTAAAAAAACATGACAGGTTCAAGGTTCCGGATCAAAATTTTCGAAATACTCGGTTTCGAGCTGGAATTTTCAAAATTTCTCAAAAATTACCATATTTCTTTTGGCGATTATGGAAAAATTGTACGAATTTTCGAAAAAACAACCAAAAACAACATCTGGAGATCGAAATCAATAAAGGAATCCCTTTTGGTAATCTCGAACGTGCTTGAAAAAAGTAAAAAATTTTATACAGGTTCTCAAAAATTGCCATATTTCTTCCGTCGATTCTGGAAAAAATGTAACAATTTTCAAAAAAATTGAATCCAAAACGATTTTTGGAAATCGAGATGAACAAAGGAATTCTTTTGGTAATATTCGAAAATGTTTAGGAAAAGTCAAAAATTTTATATGGGTTTCCAAAAATTGAGCTTTTGTTAAAGTTGACAAAAAATTCTGAAATACAGATCTCGACGAGTTTAAAAAAAAACATGACGAGTTCATGGTTCCGTACCAAAATTTTCGAAATATTTGGTTTCGAAGTCGGATTTTTAAAATATGTACTAAACATGCAAAAAAATAAACTCAAACAAATTGGATGTTACCTATATGGCCACTACACAAATTTTTGGATGCAGTACAGCTGTTTGTGAATCTACATTCTCTGTTTTAACCAGCATTTTAACCAAGTACCGTACTAATTTTTTGGACTTCGACAGATTTTTACGAAAATTTAGAGTAAAAAATCGACGTTTCCAATTATTTTAATGTTCTTTCAAATATAAAAACTCAGAAAAAATAAAGTAGTTATCTGAGTGTATTATTAAAATATAAATATTTACATGAAGCCCCCTCTGTCGACAAACTTGCCCCCCCCTGAATAAGTTTTCTAGCTACGGGGCTGCTACACATGCATGTCTTCACTTGTTTGACTCAAAGTAACAAAGTACGAAATCATCAAACAATCATAATCAGAGCAGAAAACAAATAAAAGAAATGAAACTTACATGTCCTAACTTAAACTTATCAATAGGTGGTGGTTTAACATCATGATAAACAAAAGAACCCCGTACCGAATGGTACGGCCCACTGTACACGTTCCCGCTGTACGAGCTTTCACTGTAAGCAGGTTTGGACAGCTGGAACGTGGCATAAGGACATATGTCCTCGATGTAGTCTGCAGATTCGGCCTTATAAGTATCCGAATCAATGGTCAAAGGTTGCGGTCCTCGTCCCGCTCGCACCGCGAGGTACTGCTGATCTCGATTCTGCTTGTTCTGTATCTGAGCCATCGAAGGCGATTCACCCATCGACCTATTCTGGCCCTCCCTCTCACTCCGAATCTCTGCAAAATCTACCAATCAAACATACGCAACCCAGCGAAACCGCGCACTCACTTTTCCTCCAGAAGAGAGTCGCAATCAGAGCCACTAACACTAAAACTGATAAGATTATGGGAACTAGGACGCGGGCGTTGGTATAAAAAGGATGATCCCCGGAATGCGACACAGGGGGCGAGAGTTCTGGAACGGCTGTGTATAAAATCGGTCAGAGTTTGTATCCCGATTTTGGAAGGTACTCACCACCCATCAGTGTCAAAGTTGTGAAGTTGTATAGAGCTTCGGTGTCCCCCGCGTTGTTGTGAGCAGTGATTTTTAATTGGTATTCAGTGGCAGGCCATAGGTCGCTTATGCTGTATATTCGCTCGGTGGGTTTAACGTGGTTGGACGACATTATCCACGAGGAGTGTCTTCCGGGACGAAATTCGATCACGAAGTAGAGGATGCCGCAACCGCCGTCGCCCCAAGAGTCCAACCAGATGGTGACCACCGTCGCGTTCATGGTGAGCATTTGCGACTGCTTAGGCTTGACGGGGACTACAAGAAAATATGACCACTAAGCAGGGAAACATCTTGAGTTTATTTATTCAACGTCTTGAAATGATGTGCATAGTGTATTTATTTAAACAAGATGTAAGTAAGCGAAGAAAAATGTTGCTTCTCCGGTGGGAATCGAACCGTACGTTTACCGCATGCCGGGCAGGTACCCTTACCACTAGACTACGGAGGAGTTTATCTTTCTTCGCTTACTACTACCATTGTTTAAGTATATTATAGTTGGACAACCTAATACAAATTTTACTTCGCCTAAATAGCGAGTTTTAGGACAAGGAATCCAGGGGGCGTTTTGGGCTTTTCCGATTCCGATTCTTCAAATTTTCTATTTCTCGATTTTTTTATTTTTCGATTTCTCAATCTTTCGATGTTTCAATGATACGATTTCTCAATTTTTGTCCTCTTCAATTTTGCGGTTTTTAAATATTTCGATTTTTCAATTTTTCAAATTTTCACGTTTCTAAATTTTCAGTTTGCCGATTTCTAAAATATTTTTTTTTATTTGTCCAATTCTGGACTTCCTAAAGTTTCGATTTTTCACACCTTCAATTCTTCAATTTTTCGATTTTTTAAGATTACGATTTTTCGATTTTGCTTTTTTAGATTTTCTATTTCTCAATTTTCCAATTTTTTAATTTCTCAATTTTTTGAATATTTCTTTCAGTTATGAGATTTTTCAATATTTCAATTTTTCGACTTTTCGATTTTTGAATTGATGGATTTTTTTTTGATTTCTCGATTTTTTACTTTTTGGATTTTCAATTTATTGTAAACTTTAAATTTTTCAATTCTGCGACTGTTTAAAGCTTCGATTTCTCAATTTTTCAACTTTTCGATGTTTTAATATGTATTTCATTTTTTAAAATTCTAGGTTTTTCGATATTTCGAGTTTTCAATTCTTCTATATTTCAATTTTTCAATTGTTCGATTTTTTTAATTTTAATTTTCGATTTTCCAGTTTTTCTTTTTAAAAAAATTTCGATTATTCAATTTTTTAATTTCTCAATTTATCGAATTCAGATGTTTCGTTGTTTTTTTGATTGTTCAATTTCTCAATTTTTCAATTTTTAACTTTCCTTTTCTGCTTCCGACTCCACAATTTCTCGATCCTCCGATTTTTCGCTTTCTCGAAGTCTTAGTTTTTGAATTTTTCGATGTTCCGGTTTTTGGATTTCTCGGTTTTTCGATTTTTTCGTTTGAGCTTTTCAATTTCTGGATTTTCCAATTTTTCAATGTCCCGATTTTTCAATTTTTCAAATTGAATTGAACTTCTCGATTCTCCAATTTTGCGGTATTTTAATTATTCAATATTTTAAATTTTCGATTTTTCGATTTCTCGATTTTTTGACTTCAGTTCTTCAGTATCTAAAATTTTTCTATTTTTCAAATTTTTGCGTTAAATTTTCAGTTTTCTGATTTCCCAATTAATCTATTTTTGATTTTCCCACTTCTCAAAGTTTCGATTTTTCGATTTTTCGACTTGGCTTTATTGGCTTTTAGATTTCTCAATTTTTGGATATTTCTTTCAGTTTTGATATTTTTCAATACTTCGATTCTTTGATTTTTCGACTTCTAGATTTTTCTATTTTTTATTTTTGGATTTTCAGTTTTTCGTTTTTTATACTTTAGATTTTTCAATTTTTCGATTGTTTTATATTTCAATTTCTCAATTTTTCAACTTTTCCATATTTTAATTTTTAAATTTCTAGATTTTTCGATTACTCGAGCTTCCAGTTCTATATTTTAATTCTTCAAATTTCCGAATTTTTAAATTTTTTGAGATCTCAATTTATTGAGATTCGGATGTTTCGATGTTTTGATTATTCAATCTCTCGCTTTATCAATTTTTCCATATTTAAGTTTTCGATTTTTCGATTTTGACCTATTTCGGTTTCTCAATTTTTCGATTTTTCGACTTCTCGATTTTTCGACTCCTCGATTTTTTGGTCTTTTGATTTTTAAATTTCTCGATGTCTCAATTTTTAAATTTTACGATGTTTCAATTTTCCGATTTGTTGGTTTTTCGATTTTTTGCTTGTCGGTTTCTCGATTTTTCGCTGTTTCGATTTTTGAATTTTAGATTTATCCGATTTTTCAATTTTCCAATTTTTTAAATTTTCGACTTCTCGATTCGTTGATTTTTCAGTTTTTCGATTTTTAAATTTTAGATTTACGAATTTTTATTTTTTTGACTTTTTGATGTGTGGATTTCTCCATTTTTCAGTTTTAGGATATCTTAACTTTTCAATGTTGTAAATTTTCGATTTTTCGATTTTTCAGTTCTTCAATATTCTTTTATTTTTCAAATTTTGACATTTATTTTCTGAATTTTTAATTTTCGGATTTCTCGATTAATCTATTTTTTTATATTCCCATTTCTCCACTTGACAAGTTTCGATTTTTCAGTTCTTCAGTTCTTCAATTTTTCGATTATTCAGGTTTTAGATTTTCGATTTCTCAATTTTCCAATTTTTTAATTTCTCAATTTTTTGAATATTTCTTTCAGTTATGAGATTTTTCAATATTTCAAGTTTTCGACTTTTCGATTTTTGAATTGATGGATTTTTTTTTGATTTCTCGATTTTTTACTTTTTGGATTTTCAATTTATTGTAAACTTTAAATTTTTCAATTCTGCGACTGTTTAAAGCTTCGATTTCTCAATTTTTCAACTTTTCGATGTTTTAATATGTATTTCATTTTTTAAAATTCTAGGTTTTTCGATATCTCGAGTTTTCAATTCTTCTATATTTCAATTTTTCAATTGTTCGATTTTTTTAATTTTAATTTTCGATTTTCCAGTTTTTCTTTTTAAAAAAATTTCGATTATTCAATTTTTTAATTTCTCAATTTATCGAATTCAGATGTTTCGTTGTTTTTTTGATTGTTCAATTTCTCAATTTTTCAATTTTTAACTTTCCTTTTCTGCTTCCGACTCCTCAATTTCTCGATCCTCCGATTTTTCGCTTTCTCGAAGTTAGTTTTTGAATTTTTCGATGTTCCAGTTTTTGGATTTCTCGGTTTTTCGATTTTTTCGTTTGAGCTTTTCAATTTCTGGATTTTCCAATTTTTCAATGTCCCGATTTTTCAATTTTTCAAATTGAATTGGACTTCTCGATTCTCCAATTTTGCGGTATTTTAATTATTCAATATTTTAAATTTTCGATTTTTCGATTTCTCGATTTTTTGACTTCAGTTCTTCAGTATCTAAAATTTTTCTATTTTTCAAATTTTTGCGTTAAATTTTCAGTTTTCTGATTTCCCAATTAATCTATTTTTGATTTTCCCACTTCTCAAAGTTTCGATTTTTCGATTTTTCGACTTGGCTTTATTGGTTTTTAGATTTCTCAATTTTTGGATATTTCTTTCAGTTTTGATATTTTTCAATACTTCGATTGTTTGATTTTTCGACTTCTAGATTTTTCTATTTTTTATTTTTGGATTTTCAGTTTTTCGTTTTTTATACTTTAGATTTTTCAATTTTTCGATTGTTTTATATTTCAATTTCTCAATTTTTCAACTTTTCCATATTTTAATTTTTAAATTTCTAGATTTTTCGATTTCTCGAGCTTCCAGTTCTATATTTTAATTCTTCAAATTTCCGAATTTTTAAATTTTTTGAGATCTCAATTTATTGAGATTCGGATGTTTCGATGTTTTGATTATTCAATCTCTCGCTTTATCAATTTTTCCATATTTAAGTTTTCGATTTTTCGATTTTGACCTATTTCGGTTTCTCAATTTTTCGATTTTTCGACTTCTCGATTTTTCGACTCCTAGATTTTTTGGTCTTTTGATTTTTAAATTTCTCGATGTCTCAATTTTTAAATTTTACGATGTTTCAATTTTCCGATTTGTTGGTTTTTCGATTTTTTGCTTGTCGGTTTCTCGATTTTTCGCTGTTTCGATTTTTGAATTTTAGATTTATCCGATTTTTCAATTTTCCAATTTTTTAAATTTTCGACTTCTCGATTCGTTGATTTTTCAGTTTTTCGATTTTTAAATTTTAGATTTTCGAATTTTTATTTTTTTGACTTTTTGATGTGTGGATTTCTCCATTTTTCAGTTTTAGGATATCTTAACTTTTCAATGTTGTAAATTTTAGATTTTTCGATTTTTCAGTTCTTCAATATTCTTTTATTTTTCAAATTTTGACATTTATTTTCTGAATTTTTAATTTTCGGATTTCTCGATTAATCTATTTTTTTATATTCCCATTTCTCCACTTGACAAGTTTCGATTTTTCAGTTCTTCAGTTCTTCAATTTTTCGATTATTCAGGTTTTAGATTTTCGATTTCTCAATTTTCCAATTTTTTAATTTCTCAATTTTTTGAATATTTCTTTCAGTTATGAGATTTTTCAATATTTCAATTTTTCGACTTTTCGATTTTTGAATTGATGGATTTTTTTTTGATTTCTCGATTTTTTATTTTTTGGATTTTCAATTTATTGTAAACTTTAAATTTTTCAATTCTGCGACTGTTTAAAGCTTCGATTTCTCAATTTTTCAACTTTTCGATGTTTTAATATGTATTTCATTTTTTAAAATTCTAGGTTTTTCGATATCTCGAGTTTTCAATTCCTCTATATTTCAATTTTTCAATTGTTCGATTTTTTTAATTTTAATTTTCGATTTTCCAGTTTTTCTTTTTAAAAAAATTTCGATTATTCAATTTTTTAATTTCTCAATTTATCGAATTCAGATGTTTCGTTGTTTTTTTGACTGTTCAATTTCTCAATTTTTCAATTTTTAACTTTCCTTTTCTGCTTCCGACTCCTCAATTTCTCGATCCTCCGATTTTTCGCTGTCTCGAAGTCTTAGTTTTTGAATTTTTCGATGTTCCGGTTTTTGGATTTCTCGGTTTTTCGATTTTTTCGTTTGAGCTTTTCAATTTCTGGATTTTCCAATTTTTCAATGTCCCGATTTTTCAATTTTTCAAATTGAATTGGACTTCTCGATTCTCCAATTTTGCGGTATTTTAATTATTCAATATTTTAAATTTTCGATTTTTCGATTTCTCGATTTTTTGACTTCAGTTCTTCAATATCTAAAATTTTTCTATTTTTCAAATTTTTGCGTTAAATTTTCAGTTTTCTGATTTCCCAATTAATCTATTTTTGATTTTCCCACTTCTCAAGGTTTCGATTTTTCGATTTTTCGACTTGGCTTTATTGGTTTTTAGATTTCTCAATTTTTGGATATTTCTTTCAGTTTTGATATTTTTCAATACTTCGATTCTTTGATTTTTCGACTTCTAGATTTTTCTATTTTTTATTTTTGGATTTTCAGTTTTTCGTTTTTTATACTTTAGATTTTTCAATTTTTCGATTGTTTTATATTTCAATTTCTCAATTTTTCAACTTTTCCATATTTTAATTTTTAAATTTCTAGATTTTTCGATTTCTCGAGCTTCCAGTTCTATATTTTAATTCTTCAAATTTCCGAATTTTTAAATTTTTTGAGATCTCAATTTATTGAGATTCGGATGTTTCGATGTTTTGATTATTCAATCTCTCGCTTTATCAATTTTTCCATATTTAAGTTTTCGATTTTTCGATTTTGACCTATTTCGGTTTCTCAATTTTTCGATTTTTCGACTCCTCGATTTTTTGGTCTTTTGATTTTTAAATTTCTCGATGTCTCAATTTTTGAATTTTACGAAGTTTCAATTTTCCGATTTGTTGGTTTTTCGATTTTTTGCTTGTCGGTTTCTCGATTTTTCGCTGTTTCGATTTTTGAATTTTAGATTTATCCGATTTTTCAATTTTCCAATTTTTTAAATTTTCGACTTCTCGATTCGTTGATTTTTCAGTTTTTCGATTTTTAAATTTTAGATTTTCGAATTTTTATTTTTTTGAATTTTTGATGTGTGGATTTCTCCATTTTTCAGTTTTAGGATATCTTAACTTTTCAATGTTGTAAATTTTAGATTTTTCGATTTTTCAGTTCTTCAATATTCTTTTATTTTTCAAATTTTGACATTTATTTTCTGAATTTTTAATTTTCGGATTTCTCGATTAATCTATTTTTTTATATTCCCATTTCTCCACTTGACAAGTTTCGATTTTTCAGTTCTTCAGTTCTTCAATTTTTCGATTATTCAGGTTTTAGATTTTCGATTTCTCAATTTTCCAATTTTTTAATTTCTCAATTTTTTGAATATTTCTTTCAGTTATGAGATTTTTCAATATTTCAATTTTTCGACTTTTCGATTTTTGAATTGATGGATTTTTTTTTGATTTCTCGATTTTTTACTTTTTGGATTTTCAATTTATTGTAAACTTTAAATTTTTCAATTCTGCGACTGTTTAAAGCTTCGATTTCTCAATTTTTCAACTTTTCGATGTTTTAATATGTATTTCATTTTTTAAAATTCTATGTTTTTCGATATCTCGAGTTTTCAATTCTTCTATATTTCAATTTTTCAATTGTTCGATTTTTTTAATTTTAATTTTCGATTTTTCAGTTTTTCTTTCTAAAAAAATTTCGATTATTCAATTTTTTAATTTCTCAATTTATCGAATTCAGATGTTTCGTTGTTTTTTTGATCGTTCAATTTCTCAATTTTTCAATTTTTAACTTTCCTTTTCTGCTTCCGACTCCACAATTTCTCGATCCTCCGATTTTTCGCTTTCTCGAAGTCTTAGTTTTTGAATTTTTCGATGTTCCGGTTTTTGGATTTCTCGGTTTTTCGATTTTTTCGTTTGAGCTTTTCAATTTCTGGATTTTCCAATTTTTCAATGTCCCGATTTTTCAATTTTTCAAATTGAATTGGACTTCTCGATTCTCCAATTTTGCGGTATTTTAATTATTCAATATTTTAAATTTTCGATTTTTCGATTTCTCGATTTTTTGACTTCAGTTCTTCAGTATCTAAAATTTTTCTATTTTTCAAATTTTTGCGTTAAATTTTCAGTTTTCTGATTTCCCAATTAATCTATCTTTGATTTTCCCACTTCTCAAAGTTTCGATTTTTCGATTTTTCGACTTGGCTTTATTGGTTTTTAGATTTCTCAATTTTTGGATATTTCTTTCAGTTTTGATATTTTTCAATACTTCGATTCTTTGATTTTTCGACTTCTAGATTTTTCTATTTTTTATTTTTGGATTTTCAGTTTTTCGTTTTTTATACTTTAGATTTTTCAATTTTTCGATTGTTTTATATTTCAATTTCTCAATTTTTCAACTTTTCCATATTTTAATTTTTAAATTTCTAGATTTTTCGATTTCTCGAGCTTCCAGTTCTATATTTTAATTCTTCAAATTTCCGAATTTTTAAATTTTTTGAGATCTCAATTTATTGAGATTCGGAGGTTTCGATGTTTTGATTATTCAATCTCTCGCTTTATCAATTTTTCCATATTTAAGTTTTCGATTTTTCGATTTTGACCTATTTCGGTTTCTCAATTTTTCGATTTTTCGACTTCTCGATTTTTCGACTCGTCGATTTTTTGGTCTTTTGATTTTTAAATTTCTCGATGTCTCAATTTTTAAATTTTACGATGTTTCAATTTTCCGATTTGTTGGTTTTTCGATTTTTTGCTTGTCGGTTTCTCGATTTTTCGCTGTTTCGATTTTTGAATTTTAGATTTATCCGATTTTTCAATTTTCCAATTTTTTAAATTTTCGACTTCTCGATTCGTTGATTTTTCAGTTTTTCGATTTTTAAATTTTAGATTTTCGAATTTTTATTTTTTTGACTTTTTGATGTGCGGATTTCTCCATTTTCCAGTTTTAGGATATCTTAACTTTTCAATGTTGTAAATTTTAGATTTTTCGATTTTTCAGTTCTTCAATATTCTTTTATTTTTCAAATTTTGACATTTATTTTCTGAATTTTTAATTTTCGGATTTCTCGATTAATCTATTTTTTTACATTCCCATTTCTCCACTTGACAAGTTTCGATTTTTCAGTTCTTCAGTTCTTCAATTTTTCGATTATTCAGGTTTTTGACTTTTCAATTTTTCGATTTTTTAAGTTTGCGATTTTTAGACTCTGCTTTTTTGACTTTTCTGTTTCTCGATTTTTTAATTTCCTAATTTTTGGATATTTCGTTCAATTTTGTGATTTTTCAGTTTTTCGATTTCTCGATTCTAACTTTTCAATTTTTAAATTAGTTTTTTTCGATTTTTTGAGTTTTCAATTCTTCTATATTTCAATTTTTCAATTTTCGGAATTTTTAAATTTTCGATTGTCCAATTTTTTTTATTTTTCGATTTTCCAATTTTTCGATGTTTCGATTTTTGAATTAACCGATTGTTCAATTTCTCGATTTTTAAATTTTAGATTTTCCAATTTTTATTTTTTTGATTTTTTTATGTTTCGATTTCTCGATTTTACAATTTTCCGATATTTGAATTTTTCAATGTTTTCAATTTTGAACATTCAAGGCTGTTTTAAGTCTGCTACATTTAATTTTTGCGATTTTAAATTTATTTGTTTTTGTGTAAAAATACGTGCTACCACACACATGAAACAGGTATGCACTACATACAAATATATTACATATATGTGAAGTCTTCAACACGTACGTTTGCTTATTTTGTGACTGCTCCCCGTACAACGTACTGACTAATACGTCCGTTTACTACCTTATCGACATCACGTGCTTGCAGACTATTTTTACCCCCTTTCGTAAGGTACCGCCACTTCATAGTGAAGCGAGTGAGATGTAACATATATGTTCATTCTTTTCTACATGGGAAAGTGATTGTCCGTATAGGTTGTCCAACTATAATATACTTAAACAATGCTACTACGTATTATTGTCCCTCCACAAAGATAAGGTAAAGAAAAATAAAAGAAAAAACAAAACCTTGCCCCTTGGGAGTTGTCCGTTATGAGTGTTTGGGACTGTGTCGGGTATGTAACACTCCACACAGGGTGTTTGTGGCCATATCCTCTGGAGCAGCCCACAATGAACCGATAACCGTGCGTGACTCTATTCCCCACCCCCAATAAAAATAAAAAACAAAAGAAAAATATTTTTTTAAAAAATGACAACGAAATAAAACGCCAGTTGAGCGAACCTACCGGTTCCTTTGGTGTGCGCCGTGACGATATCGCACGGGAGCCCTGTCCCTATCCTGTTGAAAGCCGTTATGTACAGGAGATACCGCGTTCCGCACCACAGGTTCCTCAGCATGTGTTCGTCCGTCCTCGCCGAGATCTGCAGCTCCTCCCAGTCACCGTGGTCCCTCTTGTAGTTGATGACGTAGCCCAGGATCGGGGACCCCCCGTTTCCTTGGTCGCTCCACCTGCAACTTTGACTCAAACCCGAGCACCCTACTTCAGCTGGTACACACCTCAAGTGTAAACTATCCGTGAAAGCGTCGACGACACTCAACACTGGCGCTTCCGGAGGCACTAGAACTTTCAAACTGTATCCGATTTCGTCTCTTCCGTATTGATTCTCGACGCTGCAGGAGTAGTTGGCTTGGTCCACGCTCTGGATGTCCTTGATGACGAGAGTGGCGTTGGGAAAAATTGTCCTTCGACCTCCCACTTCGAGCGGTAGCTCGTTCAGCCGCCAGATTGCGTTCGGCAAGGGAAAACCCACTCTTTTACAGTGTAGATAAACATTTTGTTTCCAGGCACTTATCACTTCTCGGCCGAAGGAAGCGATACGCGCCGGAACGGTCTTTGATGGACTCATCGAGATAACCCTTGTGCTTTCGCCCTCGCCGATCTGGAGGGGAGGCGAAATGGGGCATAAACGTGTGCATATCTGTTTGTTACGAGTAGCAGAATATACAGGAAGCGGCAGCTTTTTTAAGCTTTTAAGTTAATCGTGTGCAACTAGTGAAAGAAGTGACTACACGGGACATAGTTTTAGGCGATTGGTGTGCAGAGGTTGAAATTCCGCTTTCGTTCGATAGTAGCAGGTGCTAGAAGCATAATGGTGTTTGCTTCAAAAGAAACGAAGGATTGAGTCCTAATGTGAACGAACGATAGGTAAAAAGATAAAAAAGCTAAAGGAGCTAATACAATTAACGCGGGAAAAGCGAAAGGTTAACTCGAGGCATTAAAACAGAAGCAAGCTACGTAAACGGGCGAAACTTTTGTAAATAGGTTACCCTAATGTATGGAGACGGGGCCCAAAGTGTTGTGATTTCTGGTTTTTACTTTTACTTCTTTTTGTTAGAAAATTGGAAAATTAACTTTTGTTAATCATTTATTTATAATTATTATTATTTTTTTTTACATAGCAACTGTTCCAATATAAAATTAACACTCTTATTAAAATTTCATTTCCATCAACAACTCATTAACACCTTCTCCAAATTTTATTAATTGATGCTTGACATAAATTGTTCTTTCAGGTTTTCAAATTTAATGTTTCCAAGAGGTTTGGTAAATATGTCGGCGATTTGTTTTTCAGTTGAACAATACTTTATGTTTATAATACCTTCTCGCACCTTTTCATTTATAAAATGAAATCTTACATCTATGTGCTTGCTCCGTCGATTGAACTGTCCGGTTTTCACTATTGAGATTGCACTCTGATTAATCAACGTACAAATCTATCTTCACTTCACCATTGGTAAGTTCATCAATTAGAGATTTGAGGTAAAGAAGTTCTTTAACACATTCTGCAGCAGATATATACTCAGCTTCTGTGCTTGAAAGTGAAACTATTGGCTGTTTCCTGGAACACCACGATATGGGTCCACCACAAAAAAATATTATGTACCCTGTTGTACTTCTGCGTGTTTCAGTGTCCCCTGCAAAATCTGAATCACAAATAGGCAATCAATCTCTCACTGTTTTGGCCATCGTAGCACAGTCCATCATTTTTTGTAGATATTAAATAGCGAAACACTCTTTTTACTGTTACAATGTCTTGATTTGAAAAATTTTCCATTTTTCTACTACAGTAATTCACTGCATATGATATGTCTGGTCTGGTCTTGTTGTTTAAATATAATAAACTTCCAACAGCTTCTCTGAATGGATAATTAATTTTTACCATTTTATCTTCTGAACTTATATCTTGTTTGACCATGGGCGTAGGTACAGGTTTGGAGTTTTGCATATTAAATTTTTCTAAAGTTGCTTGTACATAATCTTGTTGTGAAAGTATAACTTTTCCATCATGTTTTCGAATACTAATTCCTAAAAACCTATTAGGATTTTTTTCACTTGTCATTTCAAATTCGGTTTGAAGATTTTTCAATAACGATTTCATTTCTTCTTCACATTTGCTGATCAATAATCCGTCATCTACAAAGATTGCTAATAACATGGTCTTTTCTATATTCGTAAATAAACATTGATCACTAATCAGTGGTTTTAAACCATTCAGTTTTAAAGATGTGGTAAAACGTCCATTCCATTTCATAGGAGCTTGTTTTAGGCCATATAGCGATTTCGACAATTTACACACTTTGTTTTCAGTTTGTTCACATTTGAACCCCTCTGGTACATGCATAAAAATTTCTTCTGAAATACTTCCATACAAAAATGCTGTTTTTACGTCAAATTTGGTAACTGACATATTATACTTGGCAGCTAGTGCTAACATTATTCTTACTGAGCTTATGTTCACAACTGGACTGAATGTTTCGTTGTAATCTATTCCCTTATGTTGTTGGCACCCTCTTACTACCAACCTTGCTCTATATTTTCCATTATCTTTAACTTTGAATACCCACTTGCTTGTCAGAATGCGATGTTTGTCTACTTCATTTATATTCACGTAACTCCATGTAAGATTTTTATTCAGAGATTCTTTTTCTTCACGTATAGCCTCAAGCCATTTGTCCTTTTCTGGTCCCTTGACTGCTTCTTCATAAGTCAATAACGCTTCTTCTTCAACAAAGTTTACAATATAATCTTTAAGTTTTACAGATTGTTTTAATTTTCTTCCACTTCTTGTTTCTGCGATGCCTTCTCCTCTTCTTGATTCTGTGATGCCTTCTCCTCTTCTTGATTCTGTAATGCCTTCTCCTCTTCTTGATTCTGTGATGCCTTCTCCTTCTCCCAAAATTATATTTTGTACTTCTATTTGATTTGGTTTTTGTCTAATGTCTTGTTCATTTTCAGTTTCGGTTTCTGAATTTTCACCTGTATTGTTTTCTTCTAGTTCTGCATTCTGTTCCTGATTTTCTTCGTCGCTTTCTATAACATTTATTTTGCTTGTTCTTCTGTAATCAGCCAAAGATTGACTACCTGGTTCATTGAAGATAACATCTCGGTGTATTTTTATTTCCTTAGATTTTTCATCCCATAAGCGGTAACCATTTGGTGCATATCCTACAAAAAGATACCTTTTACTTCTAGGGTCAAGTTTGTGTAAATTTCCCAGTGTCTTTGCATATGCTACAGAACCAAATATTTGTAATCTGGACAGATCAGGTTTCATTTTGGTCCAGTATTCTATTGGTGTTTTGTCTATTGCTTCTGTAGGACTTCGATTTAACAGATACGCTGCTACATACGCAGCTTCGCCCCAAAAATCTTTACTTAGCTTGGTGTCAAATATCATCGCTCTTGCCTTTTCCAATAAGGTTCTATTTAATCTTTCTGCTTTTCCATTTAGTTGTGGACTATGGGGTATAGAATAATCCAGAACAATGCCTTTATTTTTTGTCCAGAGTTTAAAATTCGATGACGTATATTCACCACCATTGTCACAACGTATTTTTACCACCTTTTGATTATGATAAGCTTCTGCTTCTCTAATAAAATCTTTTAAATGTTCTGATACTTCACTCTTATACTTCAATAGAAAAATTCTACAATAATGAGTATAATCATCTAACACTGTTAAAATGTATCGTTTTCCATCCCAAGTTTCAGGATCGATTGGGCCGCATACATCTGTATGTAGAATTTCTAGTGGTCGTCTTGCCTTCTGTCTCGTTGTATTAAAAGGGAGTCTTGTTTGCTTTGCTTCCATGCAGACTTCACAGAAACCCATTTGACATTTCTTTTTATTCAGTTTCATGCCTGTCGATAGATCTATTAATCTTTTTATATTCTTTGTTCCCAAATGTCCTAGCTTTCTATGCCAGTCTTTTACTGAAGTATTTTCTGCAAGATAACTCTCTTCCTTACTTTGATTTATACTAACCATATATAAACCACTTTCAATTTTTTTTCCTTCAAGTATTTTTTCATTGTTTTTCCTTATTACTACTTTTTCTTTAGTAAATGTTACTTCACCATCATTCTCTGTTATAGCATTAACTGACAGTAGATTTTTACTTAATTCGGGTACAAAAAGTACATCATTCAGTATACATGAACTTCCTTCAACTGTTCCTTTCCCTTCTGCCTTCATTTTTTCATTCTTCTTTGCAACTTGTATGCTACTTTCGATATTTTCTAATGCTGTAAACATCACTTTCGAGTTGACCATGTGGGATGAACATCCTGAATCAACTATAAAATCTTGCGTTGTCAGTCTTCTGTCTTCTGTAAGAAAGGCTATCTTCTTTTTTTCTAATGATTTTGTCTTATCTCTAAAGAAACAGTCTTGCTCTTTATGGTTTGTTTTCTTGCAAATCTTTCATTGGTTATTTGTCTTTTTGGGACAGTTATTTGCAATATGTCCAGAGCATCCACACTTAAAACATTTTACTTCGCCAGTACCCTTTTCTTTCCATTTTCGGCAATATCTTGTATCATGCGAACTACTTTTACAATGTTTACAAAATCTCTCTGAACTTTTAAATGCAATATCTCTCTCACTTTCCTTGCTACGGTTTTCTTCGGATAGTAGTCTTGCTATCAATTTTGGTAAGGTTTTTTCATTATCTTGAGTAGATTCCCAGGCAATCCTGAAGAAACCATAACTTTGAGGTAAAGATGACAGTATTTTTGACATTAACATGTTGTCATCAACTGTTTGATTTAGACTTTTTAATTTGTGTGCAATACTCTCTATTTTGCTAATGTGAGTAGCCATATCAGTACCTTTTCCAAATGTGTAGCCGTAGAACTCTTGCAGCAAATTACATATTTGTTCTGAAGTGCTTCTTTCAAAAATATTTTTGATTTTTTCGAACATTTCTTTGGAGGTGGTGCAGTCCATAATGTGCATCATGTACTTTTTGTCTATTGACGTCACAATTAGTTTTTGCGCTTTTGCATCATTTCTCACCCATTTAGTTTTATCTTCCTCCTTTTCCACACTATATAGAAGCTTGTCTCCATTTACTATTCCAAACAGATCATAAGCCTTAAATGTTACTACTATTTGAAATTTCCACAGCTGATACGTGGTTTCATCTTTGAGCTTTTCTATTAAATTCACCTCTTCTGTCAATGCCATTATTTTTGTTTTTTTTTCTTCTTATGTCACTGTCAAATACGTTTTCTTCCTTTTCGAGTTTTATTTCTCTCGTTAAGGTTCCAAAATTTCTTCTTCTAGCTTTACTGCCTCAGTACTTGCGAGTACTCTGGGCCCATAACCTGTTGTGATTTCTGGTTTTTACTTTTACTTCTTTTTGTTAGAAAAATGGAAAATTAACTTTTGTTAATCATTTATTTATAATTATTATTATTTTTTTTTACATAGCAACTGTTCCAATATAAAATTAACACTCTTATTAAAATTTCATTTCCATCAACAACTCATTAACACAAAGGCCCCACGTGTAATAATAAAATTTATAATGCCGTTACTTATGTAATACGGTTTCTGCTACTCTGTAAGTCTTACCCTCGTCGAAGCCGTGACCCAGAACTCCAAAGTGGACGATTCCTTCACCCTCTCGACCTCATGCATTTCGGTGGAAGGACTCAACACCCTCTTGTGCGTCCCTTCTTCCCTGCCGTCCTCCATTTGGCTCATGTAGAAAGTGTATCCGACTAATGGCCCATTACTGAATTTGGGCGGTAACCACGATACTAGTATTTTATCGGGGGCGCTTAGGACGGCCTTAATTTCCGCCGGTGCAGATGGCACTATAAATTTCCATTGAATGTACCGACTGTTACGTCGACAAAAAATTCATGAGACAGAAATTTATCGATATTTTACGAGCGATAACTTTACGATCTTGTTTATTTCGCCGAATTAGGACGGGCTACATTAGCGCGCTGCCAATTTCGGGAAATTGATGGGACAGTTTAACTTAATTCGTATGGATGTTTCTCGACAAGATCGTGCTACTAAAAAACGCTTACCGTCCTCTTCGGTTTGGCAGTACGTGGGCTCGGACCTCACCCCGTCCCCGCTGGACGTGAAAGCCAGGACTGTCATGCTGTAATTGGTGTATTTTCTTAATCCCGAGATTGTTGTGCGCAGCTGGCTGATTATTTTAGTCTGCTGGTCGTCGTTGTCTACAAAGTTACCGTCAACAAAAAGAAGATCCATGGGATATACAACTACCTAACCACTCTCCGGCCGAGTGGTAAGTAACTTTGTAGCCTTGGATGATTCCGTTGCGACCCTCCGGCAAGGGTGGCTCCCATGATATGTGTAAACTTTGAGCACTTAGGACCGAACATTGTACGTTCTGAGGGGGCAAAGTTGGAGCGTCTTCGAGAGTTCGGGCGGTGACGGGATCGCTCGCTGGGCCTGACCCGCGGCTGTTGTAAGCCTTGAAACAAGGGAGACTTCAGCGCTTAATTGGGTTTTTATCGACCGAATTAACTCCCATTTAGTATTTCTCTTTCTATGTATGCTCAAAAATGGCGCAGTCGGTAAGATTAAAAAAAATTGCGAATGCAAACACTTCCGAGAGATAACCCGTGGTGTTATAAAAGTCGGAGTATCCCCTACCTGCACGATTATTCCGTATGTGGTGTACTTGGAGAGTCCCTGCAGGACCGCTTCGCCCCCAAAATGCGGTCGAACTTCCACGCTTTTGAACGTGTAAGAGGATTGAGCGACGTTGTTTGTCTCTTCGGATGATACTTCTTGGTAACCGACGTGATAGCCTAAGAGATTACCATTCCAAGTTTCCCGACTCGGGGGTTCCCAGGTGACCACCAATTCAGTTGAGCTTTTCGCCTCGGCTCTTATATCAATAGGAGCGCCGCTCGGCACTAAATTAAGATTTAATCGGTTCGGTTCGGTTGATTAAATCAAAGACGAGTAGAGGACGTTTAAGGGAACATGTGGGATCAATTCTTAAGGAAGTTTGCATGCTGTGATCGAAGGCGGTTCTGCGCTGCGATGTCGGATGTTAAACAAAAATGTGTCGCTAAAATTTCGCATGTGAAAATAAAAATATTGAGCCGGTTTTACACAACTTAGGGAAAATAAATACTTCATTTTTACGGTTACTAAATTATTTTAACTTTCTGGACTTCTTATATTTCTCCATTGGCCCGTTTAAAAGTTTTCGCTCCTACGCGCGAGCCTTCCCCCGGCCGCAATCCCTCCCTCCCAAACAATATTCCTCGCAAAAATTAAACTTTTCCGCTCAACACTTTCCCCAGTATCATTATTATTTTCCATCCGACTTGGCAAAACGCGTCCGCGTCTCGTTGCGAACTTTCCTCGTCGACAACGCAAAGAGGAACAACAAAAACTTCTCCCGCGATAATCCTGAGCGCGGTGAAATGATCAGAAAGAAGCGACAGCAAGATGACAATTACCTGCATCAGTTCGGACATGTTTAACAGTGTTCCTAGTGTTTTTCTCTGTAGCGAGCTTTACTTAAACGGAACACGCCTGAGTCAGTGGCTTGCGGGGCGGATAATTGGTAATTGGATTCGTGCTTGGATTAAATTACCTTCTTCCAGGGTGCTCACTTGGACGATTTGGCTCGGGTCGCTTAAGCCCAGACGGTTTTCCGCCAAAATCCGCAGATGATATACTTGAGACGGGCGGAGGTTTTGCAGGGTGGTGGTAACTTGAGAACCGGGAACGGTTACTTTGGCCGGCTGGTTGGGCCACGCGTCTGGAATTAAAACGGGACTATTGAACGCAGCTCGCCGCGTTTACGTTTAAAGTTTGTGCTTGTTAGGGACGAAAAATAAAATGTATTAGCACATCGCGTCAATGACGAAATATATCCTGGTTTTTTGCTCCTAGAGAGTTTAAATCCCGGATTTTAACCCATCTGCAAACAACCGCCCTTAACCCGATGCTTATCACCCACCGAATAATGGAGAAGGCCCTATAATTACCTGATCCTGGCTTGTACTGGACAATGTAGTTAGTGATCGGGCTGTTTCCGGCGTAGGGTTGCGTCCACGATATCCCTATCGATCTAGATAGCTGGTCCATTACCCTGACGTTCCTCGGCGGTTCCGGTATCTCCTGGACGATCAGCTGAATATTCATCTCGTCGCTGCCGTAGGCGTTGGTCGCCGTGCAGGTGAAGATCCCCGTGTCCTGACGTATCGTCCTCTCGATGCTCAGCTCGGACACCATCCCCTCGGCCAGGTGCTGCCCTCTGACGGAGTATCGCTGGTCGCCCTCCTTCGATATGTGCTGTCCCCCCGTCTTCCACTGGATCTCCATCGGGGTGTCGCCAAGGGACGAGCATTGAAGGTGGGCCTGCTCGCCCTTGACGACCTGGATTTGCTTGGACTTCTGCGGGAAGTGGGCGGGAGCTGGAAAGAAAATTGTCTCGGGAGGTTGTAAATGGTGCGGACACGAACGGCTAAATGGTAAGGGTCACGACCCTTCTAAAATTTACGTTAATGTATTTGTCGCTTTTTGTCGAGGGTGTTTATAGTTTCCTAGCCGGTCTTTGTGTAATTTATTTCGGGGACTCACCGTTGACTTTCAGGTAAATGACCTTGCTGACTCCAGCGCCGATGTTGTTTTTCGCTTCGCACAGGTACTGGCCCTCGTTTTCTTTTGATATGTGAAGGAAGTTTAACGAACCGTTCTGGAATTGCTGCACGTTGGGTTCGAAGAGGAAGTCTTTGTATTCGCCGGGTTGCTCGCCTGATGAAAACGAGGGTGTTAATTGTGAATGCTTAAGGCGGGATGGGACGCTATTGGTATCCGGCGAAGTGTGATGGGTAGGCATTTTTAATTAAGGAGGTGGAAGCGAGGTGCACTTTTTCAGATTACTGTAATTAATGCCTTGCGAGGAATCGTAGCGGAAGGAGAATAAAAGAGGACTTAGTTTATCCCCGATTCAGACATGTACTAATACTCACCTACGGCCTTCTTCCACGTGACCGCCGGCTTCGGGTACCCGTCCGCCTGGCAGTGCAGCGTCGCCTCCCTCCCCGCCGCCACGCTGGAGTCCGCCGGCTCGACCGTCCACCGCGGTGGCACTGTAACCGCCGCCGCTTTAGCCCGCCGCCCCCGGCCGTCCCACAACTCACCGTTCACGGTCAGCGGGACGATGTGCTTCTCGTCTCCCGCGACGTTGCTCGCGATGCACGTGTAGTTCCCGGTGTGCGCCGACGTCACCTGCTCGATGATCAGCGACGAGGAGAACTCGTCGATCCGCCGGATGACCGTCCCGAGGGCGAGGTTATTGGAGACGGCCCTGCCGTTCCGCTCCCACCGGAACGTTATCGGCAGGTCGCCCTCCATTATCTGGCAGGTGATGGCGGCCCTCATGCCCTCGCGCAGCACCCCGGTCATCGGGTTTATGGGCAGGATCTTCGGCGGCACTGCAATGTCGAAGCGGTACGTCACGAACGGCGGATGCAGAATTGGCGTGCGAGGGTGGAATGGATAATAAAGGGGGTTTGGACCGTGGAGACGGGGAATATTTTTATTGGGGGTGGAGTGAGATTCTAACCAGTAGACAAAGAAAAAAGATGATGAAAAAAAAAAGATCAAAAACATGGAACCTGTCATATAGTGTATATAGGAGTGGGGAATAAAGTAGTATTAACTGGGCACTGGTTGTGGCTGCACGCTCCCACACCTCCACGTAACACATGGCGCAGTCGGTAAAAGGCGAAGGTCATAAAGGTGACCGGGAGACAAAAGGGCGAGAATAAGGCAAAAAAGGAAGCAAGGAGAAGAAATAAAGTGAGTTGGTGAGTTCCTTAGTGTGTGGAAGTCCCCAAGAAATCTCAAAATATGGAGAAAGGTGCAAAGGTACCCGCAGAGCTCAAGTTATCAGGTGATAAGGCAGCGGAATGGAAATTCTTCGTGCAGAAATTAGACATATATATGAAAGCGGCGAAAATCGATAAAGAATCCGAAGAGTACAAATGTGCAGTCATGCTAAACTGCATTGGAGACGCGGCTCTCAAAATCTATAATACCTTCGAGTTCAAGAGCGGAGAAGAAGGAAAATTCAACTGCTTGTTGGTAAAATTTGAAGACATTTTCGTGCCTACTATCAACGAGACGTACGAGAGACAGGCGCGGATACAGGATTTCGTCCAGGGGGGGGCAATTTTTGTGCAATTTTACCTATCTACCAGAAATTCGTTCTAAACAAAAAAATTTATAAAATTTTAGCTAGTATACTCTTTTTCACATAACATGGGTGACATTTGGTTCTTTTCATTACACGTATAGTGTACAGTAGAACCTCGATAATCCTAATTAATTGGGAAAAAGGTGTGTTCGGATTAACGATTTGTTTGGATCAGCAATTTTCTCAAAAATCTGAAAGGGAATTGAATAACAAACAACTTCATACACAACTGAAAACAAACTTCAAGAAATAAACCTAAATTTTATTAAACAAAAATTAAAAAATTCTTAAGCAAAAAAAATATTACTCCGTGACCATAACCACGCTTTAGATGAATTTTTCAAAAATGAAATTTTCCATTATGTATTCGTATTACCTCCATTATGCAAATTTCGACCCATTCTCGACGATTTTCGAAATTTAACTAAATATATTTTCTAGTAGATTTTGGACCTCAGAAGTCACTTCTGGCTTCATTTCTTCGATAACTTAAACCATTTTTCCAGAATCGTTGAAATATCGCAATTTTTAAAAATTTCGAAAAATTCGAATTTCACAGCGAATTTTCCGAAAATATTGCTCCGTTACCATAAACATGATATATATCTCTGAATTTTTTCAGAATTTTTAGAAAATTTTTTCGAAAATGAAATTTTTCTCATGCAAATTTCGACCCATTTTCGACGATTTTCGAAATTTAACTAAATACTTTCTCTTGTAGATTTCGGGTCTCCGATAACTTCATCCGTTTTTCCAGAATTAGTTAATTAATTCAGTGCTTTGAAATATCGCAATTTTTAAAAATTTCAAAATATTCCATATAACATATGTAGAAAGATCTTGCGTCATTTTTGGAAGTAGATGCATGTTTTCAAGTTCAGATCGGATTGCAGAGTTTTTGTTCGGATTAAAGAGGCATCGACTTCAAATAGCCTCTGTTCGGATTACTGGATGTTGAGGCAATCGTGAGTTCGGATTATAGAGGTTGTACTGTATTTACAAAATGAAATATGATTTCAAAATTTTGAAATTGGTCAAAACAAAGGACCTCGGTCGTGTGTCGGGGGGGGGGGGGGGGCAATTGCACCCATTGCCCCCCCCTGGATCCGCGCCTGACGAGAGATACTTGTTTTTCACAAGAGAAATGAAGCCGGGTGAAACAGTGGATGAATATGTAACACAATTAAGACAATTATCAGAAAACTGTCAATTTGGGACCCTATGTAAGTCGTTAATTAAAGATCGTCTGGTGTTGGGCATAAAAGAAAACAGCGTCAAGGACAGATTGCTTCGAACAAAAAACTTGGAGTTGGTGAAGGCCATCGAAATATGCAAGGCGGCGGAGATAACAAGAAGACAATTGCAAGTTATAAGTGAGGGAACCAGTCGAATGAGTGAGAACGAGACGGAAGATGAAATCATGAGAGTGAGAAGAACGAATCCGCGAGAGGCGAAGCAACACGTGAACCCAAGGAAGGAAGAGAGAGATGCATACAGCAGCTCAGCGGGAGTAAGACAGAGAAGAACACAGAACACCGGTACCACTCATCATCAACAGCGTCAAAAGATACGTGTGACTTCCAAAAACAACAAATTTAATTGTAATAAATGCGGTTATTTTCATTCACTACGTGATTGTCAAGCTTTTGGAAAGAAATGCAGAAACTGTGGACAGTACAATCATTTCAGTAGGTTTTGTCAAAATAAAAGCATTAATACCATAAATAAAAATGATGAGGAATTATTTATAGGTTTGTTACAGAAAAGTGAGAATAAAAGAAATGATTGGAATGTCGATTTAAAATTTTCAAATAAAAGTGTTATTAATTTTAGGAAACCGTTAATACCGCATACTGTTCCAGATTTTCGATGGCAGAAAGTAGGTTGCGATTTATATGAATTAAGGAAAGAGAAATTTATTATTGTAATTGATTATTTCTCTAAATATGTGGAAATATGTAAAATTCAAAATATTACGGCTGATACGGTTATTATACATTTGAAAAATATATATATTCAGCAGATTAGGTATTCCACAAATATTTGTGTCAGATAATGGAACACAATTTTCAGGATTTGTGTTCGAGAATTTTGCGAAAGAATGGCAATTTCAACATGTCACCTCAAGTCCTCCTTATGCAAAATCGAATGGCATGGTTGAAAGGGCTATTCAGACTGTAAAAAATATTATAAAGAAATGTTACGAGACAAACACTGATTTAAATCTTGCTTTGTTAGATTATAGGAATACACCTGTTAGCAATTGCATTTTATCACCTTCTGAATTATTGTTTAATAGAAAAACTAGAACTTTAATACATATCTATACTTATATAATAAAGCTGAAGCTTTTGTTTATTTGAACACGTTAATCTCAGACAATACTGGTTCAAATTCAAAAAATCTTTTTGTGTTGGATAGTCAATGTATCATATCTACATATAGGCTATATAAAATCACGCTACGATCATTAGGAGCGAAGTAGCAATGAAAAATTCGGAAAAACGGGAAAATTATTCCTCCTTTGACAGCTTCGGTTGCTGACACTGCTTAAACGGTTAAAGTTAAGTAAAAATCATGTATGACGAAATTGTTCCCCTCTAAAAGTTCTAAAGAAAAGTCCGCGACAGCATATGTCTATCTTTTAAGGTCGAGTCAGTATAACCTTTTTTATGGTAATGAAATTTGTTCTAAAATAATAATGCATTATGTATAAAATTCTCGCGTCACAGTGTTTGTAACCGAACTTCTCCGAAATGGGTTGACCGATTTGTATGAAATTTTTTATGTATATTCGGTAGGTCTGAGAATAGGTTGTAAACTATTTTTTAAACCCCTAAGTGATAAGCGTGGCCCACCCTAAAAAATTTTTGTCTATTTTTGGGACAAAACTTTTTATTTTTATTTTTTTTTAAGAATTGGCATCAAAAAATACACATAACCCTAAATTTTCACCTTTCTACCACCAACCTCCATTTTTTAATCGTCTATATAATAAAAATCAATTGCTGTTCCTGTTAGTCTCGCTAAGACTCAAAAACGGCTTGATCGATTCGAAGAATTTTTTATATTACGGGGATGGTTTATAAATAAAAAAATAAGGAGAACTTAAAAGAACAGTTAAAAAATTCTAAAAATTTTGTATGGGAATCGCCAGTTCGAATTAATTTCAATAGTTGGCGTTTCTGACGGACCTGTCGTCTAACTGACGTGTCATACAAAACTAATTCTTCCGTGCAATTGTGAAAAGTATATTGCATTTCAAATCGTTCTTTGTTTTTTCGTAAAAAAAAAACGTCGTTTATTTTAAGAAAAGTCTTGGTTAAAGTGAATTTAATTACACATTGCGAAAGTTTCTTATTAATTTTGATCTGCCATTCTATTTACCTATATTCACTTTGTTGGTTTCGACAAAACCTCAAACTTTACCGTTATTCGAGGATTTAATTTGAAGTTTTAAATATTTTAAAATTCTCAAGACAAAATGTACAGATTTGACTGACTGTGAAAATAATTCTGTGTCGTTTTATGAAGTTTATTAAAATGCCGAGAAGACGACAACCTCACATAGGTCCACGAAGTCAATCAAATGTGCGACGAACTACCTCAGGTGCAAACCGCAATGATTTATTTCATGGGTAATTCGGATATGGAAGTTGATCAGCGTTGTGCTCATAATCAACATAATCAAACATTGAAGCGAGACATTGGGTGGTATGAATAAAACTGAGTAGAAACTAATATTCAAAGTACGAAGTACCTACTTCATTATTACTCTTATATACATGAGCATCTACTCTATGTACTGAGTACCTACTTGGAAACATTGTATCTCCCCGGACACACATTGAACATCTACCTACGCGTTTTGTGAGCATTTAATCTAAAAATGAGCACCGGTGGTGGCAAATGACTGAGCCGTCTGTAAAGCAGCTTAGAAAACGAGTAGGATCGTTGTAAGAGTGAATTTTGACTAAACATGGCGACTTTCATAAACGTGGAACGTCGTCAAAAGGTGCATTCAGTTTGAAAAACACATTAGGAGCAGGAATATCGAAAACTTTTCCGGTAATTAACTTTTATTTATGCATAAATTGTGCAGTGCATTTTTTAATAACACTGGCCATAGAGATTCCCATCTCAAGGTGTCTACCCCATACTAACTTATATTTTGGTGACTCGATTTTTGCTTTGATGGTTGAACACTGTCACTGTTGTCCTTTTTTGTTGTATCGAGATGCTACTTGAGCATCAACTGTTACCTACTGAAGTATTAGCATCATCTAGAAAAACTAGAAATATTTTGATTTGATATTCGAGTAGATACTTCGTATTTCGAGTATGAGCATCTACTGAGTTTTATTTATATCAACCATTGTCAAAAAATTGTTCGAACGTTGTTTCGACAGAACTTCCTTCGCACCAAAAGTATAATGAAACATATTCAGCATTTTCGAGTTGAGTCTTTTCTTCACACAATTTTGTGATGACCTAATCAACATTTACGATTAACACGTATACCACCTTGGATTGGTGCAGTGTAATACTAAAAATAACTGTATTGTATTTCCAAAATTATCTGCGAAAATCGAGTGAGCCGTTCCACCAATTTTTTGGGGGCAATAAATAAATATTCTTAACAATTTACTATGCTTACAATAACTTTAAAACGTCTGCAAGATCTCAAAGTATTCATTTTTGCAACTCTTGAGTTGTTCACTAAAATAAATTGACTGATCCATATATTTTTTTGAGTCACTGTAAAAGCAAATCTAAAAAATATGAATGCAATGATAAATTACGAAAATATACTGATGATATTTCCCACATTTTAGATAGGATTTATTCGGCAAAATCTTGAGATGACGTCTTCAAGTTTTTGGGCTTGATAAACAGATATATTTTGATTGAAAACCTAGCATGTCAAACAGTAACTTCAGAACCTTTGCAATATTTCAAAATTCAGTTTTGCAATTCTTGATTCAATCAATAAAATAAATTGACTCGGTGATTAATTTTTTTGAGACACCCCTATAAGCAAAACTAAAAAATTTGAATGGAATGATAAATCACAAGTATAGTCTCATCCTATTTTGGACATTTTAGATAGGATTCATTTGGTAAAATTTTGGGCTGGCGTCATCAATTTTTTGGAGGGGATAAGTAAATATATTTTGAATAAAAATTTATTATGCTTATCATATGTTTAAAACATCTGCAAGATTTCAAAGCATTCGGTTTTGCAGATTCAAAATTAAATTGTAGGTGAAACGAAGTTCAGGGGGTCAGCTAGTTAAGAATAATATGTTAACTCCGAAAAATATTAATTTCAAAAAACAGAGGCAATTGTTAGTAGACAGACAAAATAAACAAAAATGTTATTATGATAGAGCGTCTAGAAAATTAAGAGCTTTGAGAATTAATGAAAAAGTTTATATTAGAAAAAATGATATTTGGATTCCAGGCAGTGTAGTTAGAAAGTTTAATGATAGGTCATATCTTGTTAAAGAAGATGATACCAACCTAGTTATGCGTAGAAATAGATATTTTTTGAAACCACAATATTATATGAAAACTTCCTCTAGTTACATGTCAGATACGGATTCAAATGTAAGCAATGTAGAAAATAATGAGGATGATGTAACTGATATGTCAGAGAACGTAAATGTAACCGATTTAACTGATAAAAATGTAAAACCTGAATTTGTAAGTGAAAGTGACGAAGAAAGTGATAGTACAACTGTGACAGAAGAGGAGCCAAATGAGACAACAGACGAGGCAACGCCATCTTCTTCTCACACAAGAAGAACGATTTATGTTTCAAAGTTTGGCAGGAGAGTAAAGAAGCCAAAAAATGTTAATTAAATTTAGTTTATAATTTTTTTTTCTCGAAAGGGAAAGATGTCATATAGTGTATATAGGAATGGGGAATAAAGTAGTATTAACTGGGCACTGGTCGTGGCTGCACGCTCCTACACCTCCACGTAACACAGAACCCAAAAAAGGACAAAAAGAAGGCTAAAAAAAGCAACAATAAAGATGACAAAGAAATGCAAAAAAACCGATAATAAAATATGACAAAAAAAAGGGATAAAAAATTGCATGATATTTAACTTGTGGTGGCACAATAATAAGTTGGTAAGCGAAGAAAGATAAGCCGCTCTGTAGTCTAGTGGTCAGAGCACTCGCCCGGCAAGCGGTCTCGCAAGACTTTATCTTAAAACTGCCCGTCGACAACAGTAATTTGTTGCCTTGGGACGTCTATAAATTACAATTTCCCCAGATTTACTTGCAAATACCGTTTCAAAACACTTCGTTAATAAAGTTCTTGAAGAGTTTTGTTCTTGCTTGTCGATCTCGAAAGGGCAGCGATTGGGTTATCAGACGGATCTCCGGTGGCTGCAGTGTGGATGCAATTCATCATGAATGGCAAATACAAAAATTGGAATTTGCGAGGCGAATGGCAAATATTTACGTGCAGAGTAATAAATAGGATTTCGACGTGTCGGAGTGATGAATATTTTTATGTGTGGCTGGGGTGAGCCGGGACGTGAGAATAATGTTCCAGCCTGTTTAATCCTAGCCAAGTTAAATTCTATTATCGTATTGTAGGTACATTAGGAACAGTTTTTATGAACTTTTCGCACGACCTTTACCCTTTGCACCACTAAAGCACCAACTCGGAACAACAGTTGGTGCATTGCGCTAAATCTGTCCATAAACCCCGTTCCGAAATATCACAATGTTTTCCGCATAGACACTAAATAACTCGCCTTTACACACCAACTTCTGGCTGTGCTCGGCGTTTAATTACTAGTTTTATAACTAACTTATCCCCCTTCGCCCCTCCGGAACTACAACTTCCAAAGTTGGGGCACGAAACACCGGTCCCGCAGCCTTCTTTCCGCAAATCAGCCTCCACTCACTTCATAAAACAAACATTATTATTACTCTCCGAAAGCCGGCGCTAAACTTCGTAACAGATTCTTTTATCCGCGGATCCATCGGCCCGAACCGAATAACCCCCTGTCCGTGACGCGCCTAGCAATCTCCGCATTTCTCACGACGGCAGCGATCTCCCGTTATCCATGTGAGGCACGGCCCTATTAATATGCATGACGACTTGCCTATAACTTGCACCTCGACGTTCCTCCTGTCCGAGTTCCTCTGCCTGTTTTGGGCCTGGCACGTGTACGTTCCGGCGTCCTCGTTGCGCTGGGTCTGCTCGACGACGAGGGTGCCGTTGGCGTACACCCTCTGGCGACGGTTGACGGGCAGCAGCTGCCCGTCGCGCTCCCAGGTGATGGTCTCGATGGGGTAGCCGGCCACGGGGCACTTGACGATGAGGCTGCTGCCGGCCACGCCGGTGATCTTGGGCATCTCGCGGATGTAAGGTAACCCGTAGACGTTCACCCTAACAAAACATCCTTTTTAAAACCCTTGCAATAATCCTGTCATCCGTCTTTATCATCCCAGCCAAAACTTAGAAGAACTTCAAGCGGAGAACACAAAAGGCACTTCTTAATTTAATTAAGACTAACATTTCTGTCATGCCAGGATCCAGGAAATACACCACTCCCTCAACACCCAAACTTGGCCGCTTTGTAAAGCCAACTTCCGGAAAGTTCGCGACATGAATAAACGACATCATCGAAAAAATTCTTTCATAAAACTTCAAAACTTTCTAAAACTACAAAATCTTTCATTATCCCTTCCGAAACAAAAAACCATTAATGGTCCGTAACGATTAAAAATTACCTCGCGCTATGCGAAATCTTGCCGACGCTGTTGTGAGCCGTGCACGTGTACTCCCCACCATCCTCGGCTTTGATGTTGGTGACGTTCACGTGACTGATGACGTCGTCCTGGATGGTGACGTACTGGCCAACCAGGAAGCGCGGATGGTCTGGAAGGGGAAAACCGTCCAGAGTCCAGGTGAACTGGGGTGGGGGGTTGCCGGTGGCGACGCATTTTAGGGACACCATGGGGCCCGGCTGGAGGGTCTGCTCCGAGAACCAGTAGAGGAGCTCGGGACCGGCGTCGCCCATGTCCAGCTCGGCGATGGCCTGGGCTTGGTCCCAGTTGTTGCTGACCATGCACTGGTACATGCCGCGGTCTTCTTTGGCCAGCTGGCGGATGGTGAGGCGGGGGGGCTCGGCCATGAGCTCGACGCGGTGGTCGGGGGCCACGGGTTTTCCTGAATTAGGGAAACAGTTTCATGGAAAAAAGGGTTCTACGTTAGGGACGTTCAATATTTGCTATGCAATCTATCAAATGTGTAGACTATTAGCATCGTATTAACGTCAGTTTCACCGGAAATGACATCAACGTTTTTTTTTCTAACTCTAAAAGAGTAGGTACTATAAAAGATATAATTTTTTTCTCTTTTCAATGATATATGGCTTGGTATACCAGTATTCATCTAGAAGCTTTAAAACGCTTGTGAATTAAAAAAATATATAATACGGTAATGTTTCTCAATCAACGTTTGCTCTCCTTTTTGGTGTTCTGGCTTGTCACTTCTAGATTAAAATAAATAAAATATTGTAATGTCAAAAAATGAAAACCGAAAGATTCAGCAATATCAAAAAGTTAGATATGATTACGAAGATTATACGCGAAATAGAAGACAATCCAGAACATTATACGAAGACAGATTTCCAAACATTTAGAACAATCTCGGTCTTTTACGAAAAACGGCACACCGTAGTTGTCTTGGAGACGGTTAATGTGGATCCTCATATTTCCATTCCCTTTGCAAAGAATTTTAAAAACGGCCAAATATCATGATTACAAAATTCATTCACGTCAAGCTTTTAGTACCAGCTGATTTTGGAAGAAGATTGGCTTTTATTGCTTGACTAACTAATAAAACTCCTTTCAATAATAATGGAATTGTGAATCGACATAATTGCCATTACTGGGCTTCAGAAAATCCTCATTAGGTGAGAGAAACTAATGTTCAACACATTAGTTTTGTGTGGCAAAATCAATAGTCAAATTATCGGGCCTCGATTTTACGAAGGAGATCTAAATTCGTAAATATATTTGGACTTTGTTGTAGACGAACTTCCCGTGTTATGAAGATGTTTCACTCGTCGTGAGACAAAAAAATTATTTCCAGTAAGATGGTGCATCACTACATGACGCGCGAATAATAACAGATTATTTTTTTCATAAATGGATTTGGTGGCCTGTCAGATCTGCACATTTACAACAATTGGTCTGGTAGTTTAAAAAATTATTTGTCTGATAAAGATCGACACAGACGCGGAGAAATCACAGATGGCCGACAGATAGACGGAAACAAGGGACCTATGTTTTAGTATTCTAGGAGTCATAAAACGTCGAGAAAACATAGAAGTAGCCAGTCGCCCGATGAATTCGATTATAATACTTCCCTAGCTTATGCTTGGGAAGTAAAAATAAATAAAATCAAAGCAATTACTTTTATCGGAAATGTAAAGACTATAAATCTGTGTTTACTTGTTGATCAAATCGGTTCTTAGAAGTTCGTTTGTCTTCATTTAAATTTTTGACAATTCCTAAAGTAGATATATTTAAAATTAAATGATTATCCCGGCGCCTCAACCATTTTTACACCAACTTTTAAAATAATTGTTAGGATTGAAATAAAATTGTGTTGTCGAATCAGAAATTTTCTTAATTTTCGTAGAACCACGAGTTTATATAAAATTTTATGACGTGAATTACGAAAAAAATGTTTCTCAATTTTTCAATGTTTACTTTTTGATTTCCCGAGTTTTCGTGTTTTCAATTTTGGAATTTTCCAATTTCTGGATTTCTCAATTTTTAAATTTTTTAAATTTTGGATTTTGGATACCCTGATTTCTCGATTTTTTGGCATTTCGATTTTTCAATATTTATTTTTTGAATTTTTCGATGTTTCGATTTTTTGTTGTCACATCAATAAAAGTTTTTCGGTTTTTCTATTTTTTGCTTTTCGATTTGCCAATTTTTCGATTTTTCAGAATTCTTGATTTCCCAATTTTTCGTCATTTCATTTATGAAATTTTTGTATTTCGCGACTTTTCGATTTTTCGGCTTCTCGATTTTACAGTTTTTCGCTTTCGATTTTTCAATTTTTGATTTCCCAATTTTTCGTCATTTCGGTTTTGGAATTTTTCAATTTTCGATTTTCCAATTTTTCAATTTTTTTAATTTTGGATTTTCGTTTTCTTGATTTCTCGCCATTTTTGTTTCGATTTCTCAATGTTTATTTTTTTATTGTTCGGAATTTCGATTTTCTGATTTATCGGTTTTTCTACATTTCGGCTTTTCGAATTTCCAATTTTTCGATGTCTCGATTTTTCAATTTGTGACTTGCCAATTTTTGTCATTTCCAATATGTAATTTTTGGATTTCTAGATTTTTCGATTTTTCAGTTCTTCGATATTTCTATTTTCCAATTTTTGAAATTTTCAAATTTTTTATTTTTGATTTTTTTTTTATTTTAGGACTTTTCGATGTATCGATTCAACATTTCGGTTTTTCGATGTAGCTGCTAAGATAAAACTGATTTTGGCAAATCACATACCTTCCAAGAAAAGAGAGGGTGGGTGGGCGGGGCTAGTAGTTGCTAACATAAAACTGATTTCAGCTAATGAGACACCTTCTAAGGAAAGAGAGGAGGGTGGGTGGGCGGGGCTAATACCTGTTTTTTTTATGCGATTTTTAGATTTTTCAACTTCTTGGTTTTCGATTTTTCGGTTTTACAATTTTTCATTTTTTTCGATTTATCAATTTTTTTAATTTTAACTTTTCAAATTTTCAATTTTGGCCTATTTTGATTTCTCAATTTTTTGATTTTTTGACTTCTCGATTTGTCGATATTTTGATGTTTCAGTTTATCAATGTTCATTTTTTGTAATTTTTCGATTTTTCGACTTTTCGCTTTTCTCATTTTTTTATGTATCGATTTTTCAATTTTCGATTTCCCAATATTTCGTCCTTTCAGATTTGGAATTTTTCAATGCCTCGATTTTTCAAATATTAAATTTTGTAAATTTTGGATGTTGGCTTTCTTGATTTCTCGATTTTTTGGCGTTTCGATTTCTCAATTATTTTTTGATTTTTTCGATGTTTCGATTTTTTGTTTTTCTATATTTCGCTTTTCGATTTCCCAATTTTTCATCATTCCATATATAGAATTCTTGTCTTTCTCGATTTTTCGATTTTTCGGCTTTTCGATTTTCCAATTTTTCGGTTTCGAATTTTCAATTTTTGATTTCCCAATTTTTCGTCATTTCGGTTTTGCAATTTTTCAATTTCTCGATTTTCCAATTTTTCAATTTTTTAAATTTTGGATTTTCGTTTTCTTGATTTCTCGACATTTTTGTTCCGATTTCTCAATGTTTATTTTTTTATTGTTCGGTATTTCGATTTTTCGATGTCTCGATTTTTCAATTTGTGATTTCGCAATTTTTGTCATTTCAGTTATGTAATTTTTGGATTTCTTCATTTTTCGATTTCAGTTCTTCGATATTTCTATTTTCTAATTTTTGAAATTTTCAAATTTTTGATTTTTGATTTTTTTTTGATTTTACGACTTTTTGATGTATCGATTCAACATTTCGGTTTTTCGATGTAGCTGCTAAGATAAGACTGATTTTGGCAAATGACATACCTTCTAAGAAAACAGAGGGTGGGTGGGCGGGGCTAGTAGTTTCTAAGATAAAACTGATTTTAGCTAATGATATACCTTCTAAGGAAAGAGAGGAGGGTGGGTGGGCGGGGCTAGTACCTGCTTTTTTGAAGCGATTTTTTGATTTTTCAACTTCTTGGTTTTCGATTTTTCGGTTTTAAAATTTTTCTTTTTTTTCGATTCATCAATTTTTTTAATTTTAACGTAACAAATTTCTAATTTTGGCCTATTTTGATTTCCCAATTTTTCGATTTTTTCACTTCTCGATTTGACGATATTTTGATGTTTCAGTTTATCAATGTTTATTTTTTGAATTTTTCGATTTTTCGACTTTTCGACTTTCCAATTTTTGTATGTTTCGATTTTTCAATTTTTGATTTCCCAGTTTTTCGTCTTTTCAATTTCGGAATTTTTCAATTGCTCGATTTTTCAATTTTTAAATTTTGGATTTTGGATTTCTTGATTTTTCGATTTTTTGGCGTTGCGATTTTTCAATGTTTATTTTTTGAATTTTTCGATGTTTCGATTTTTTGTTTTTTGGTTTTTCTATATTTCGATTTTCAATTTTTTTATGTTTCCCTTTTTCAATTTTTGATTTCCCAATTTTTCGTCTTTTGAGTATTGGAATTTTTCAATTCCCCGATTTTTCAATTTTTAAATTTTAGATTTTGGATTACTTGATTTCTCGATTTTTTGGCGTTTCGATTTTTCAATGTTTATTTTTTTAATTTTTCGATGTTTCGATCTTTTGTTTTTCGGTTTTTCTATATTTCGCTTTTTGATTTTTTAATTTTTCGATTTTCAACAATTCTTGATTTCCCAATTTTTCGTCATTTCATTTATGGAATTTTTGTATTTCTCGAGTTTTCGATTTTTCGGCTTCCCGATTTTCCAATTTTCCGGTTTAGATTTTCCAATTTTTCAATTTTTAAAATTTTTGATTTTCCTTTTGTTGATTTCTCGACATTTTTATATTTCGATTTCTCAATGTTTATTGTTTGTATTGTTCGGTGTTTTGATTTTTTGATTTCTCGGTTTTTCTATATTTCGGTTTTTCGAATTTCTAATTTTTCGATGTCTCGATTTTTCAATTTGTGATTTTCCAATTTTTGTAATTTTCAAATTTTTGATTTTACTTTTATTTGATTTTAGGATCGATGTAGCTGCTAAGATAAAACTAATTTTGGCAAAGGACATACCTTCTAAGAAAACAGAGGATGGGTGAGCGGGGCTAGTACCTGCTAAGATAAGGTTAATTTTGACAAATGGCGTATCCTCTACGAAATTTAATTAAATTTTTATAAGAAAAAACACTAGAGGCCCCAACGCACTTTCAAATTCTGTCCAAATAGGAATACCTAGAACCTTAAGATTGTTTTAAATTTTTCAAAAAAAAACGGCGTCTCAAAATTAACTCAAAAACGGGTCAGGTCAGAATTTTCCAAAAACTGAACACCAAAGTCCCCCAAAATTGTTTTAAATAATTTACAATGAAAAACCCCACAGGCTCGCAAAATAATACGCCATGGGTACCTAAAATTAACCACGAACATTTTAAACGTAGGATTTTGACAACTTTGACAATTTTTGATACGTCAAACATATTTTACTCGATTTTACCTACGCTTTATATCGGATATATTTCAAACACTCGTGAAAGTAAAGTTTTTGTGGAATAGTTACTTACACTTGGTCACTTCAGTGTGAAAAACTATTCATTTTATTACAAATACGCGTTTACTTTGCTATTTCATTCAAATACAAGGCTCGAAGTAAATATTTTTAAAATTACAGCTATCCCTCCCTGATATTAGTTTTCGCTGCGTAAAGTTAATTAATTTTAAAATCCGCCTCCACTCAAAAAACACGTCTACAAACAAGTCAAAGCAAGCCATCACGAGGCAATTCACCTCTTCGCCCGTTTGCAAACGTCAGATCCTCATCCCTTCATAATTTCATTACATCAAATTTCCACTAACCCTTGTGCCATCAAATGTCTTGCAACATTTGATGTACTCTGGCGTTGCGGTTGTTACTTATTTTTCAGTAAAACCTAGTTAGCGTAGGCAGAAACACTGCCTCCCGACATACTTACCGTTGTGCAACCAGGTGACTTGGGACACCGGGTATCCGTTGACGATGCACTGGAAGCTCGCTTCCTTCCCCACGTCCACCACCTGGACTTGGGGTTGAACGTGTGCCGACAGCGGCGCCGTTATCTCCAGGGTCACCCTAACGCTCTCCTCTCCAGCCGAGTTGTTCGCGAAGCAAACGTACACCCCGCGGTCCTCCAGACGCACCTGCAACAAGGATTCACATAAACAACACCTTAGTATACGGTTTCTAATAAAGCCCGATTCTCACCGCTGCGTGACTAATGGCGCCAATTTTCACGCACGGGGAACGGATGGCGTGAAGGCATCCGGCAGGGATGAGTGCAGACGTAAATTTTGCTTAGTTGAATAAGGCGAAACGAGGCGGTGGACGAGAGGTGCGAAAATACCGCAAAAATGATTTTACTTAAGAGAGGTTGAAAGAGGGAGGATGTGCCGATGAAATGACAAATTCTCAAACGTACAGTAAAAGATGTTTTTAAATTTAAGGGGACTCGCTAGACGAGGTATAACATTTTTTTGTTTTTTTGTATGAAAAAATGATATTAATATAGATGTATCATACATCAAACTGCAGCTTTTTTCATATTCTAGAGCGCAGAGACCAGTTCAATCAATTAAAAAAATATGACTGAGAAATATCATAGAATCGCTTGAAAATTCGCACATGGATAAAACATCACTTTTTTTAGTGGCACAATTTGTTTAAATAATAAAGTGTTTATTAAAATCAAAATATACCACAAATTAAAGCAAAATACGTGGAATAATTTTAACAGGAATATCAGAGGAAAATTACTGATCTATTGCTTAGCAGAGTTTTTAACAAAAACTAACAATTATTGAAAAAAATGGGTATCAATTCGACAGAATTTGAGCAGTTAGTTCAGTACTTTGCCGATAGGAGCGCCACTAAAATTTACGGAAGCGACTTTCCAGGTAAAACCCTTATCGCCTGCTCTACCATAAGCTGATTGTTAGAGTTCTCGGCTGATTTTTCTAATTTATGGCAAGGAAATCAGTTTTATAACAAGCCGCCAGGACCGGCCGTAGTAATCTATTGTTAAGGAAATTAACTTTTACGCAATGAGGTACTATCATAAAATCGAATTAAAACTGGGAAACTATAATATTTTTACTCCACTCAGGATCCTGAATTCAATACACATGATTACTAAAAATTCATTGTAATATTATTGTTAATATATATTTTGCTTTGTTAATTAATAAAACTAATAAACATATTTATAATAATAATAAAAAATATATAAAATACAGCTTTTGTTTAACACGTATAAGTTTCTAAGTGTATCTACTACTTATCCCAGAAAGGAGGTGTTTTAAAAAAGCCCTACGCCCAGTAACTTCTCCCTTCATTGTTTACTCGAAAAAAGTGCTCGTATATGTTTTCATTTGCCGAGAGATCATTTTCAAAATATAATTATAATAAAAATATGCAAGTCTTGGTGATGAAAAATGTACTCCTAATAAATTATTAAAGTACATAAAAAAATAGAAACAAATTTTATTTATTTAAAAAAAATCTCTCGCAAAGGCAGGTTCCTCTTTCTTCTTAAATCAATTATTTCGGGCAATAATGCGCCAAAGTAAAATCTGCCAAGTTTATCTGCCATCTTTTTACATATTTCTTCGTTTTTTTCTATATCAATTCTTTTGGGTGTCCACACAACAAAATAAACTTGTGAAATACCCGAAACAAGCATTTGTCCCTGGACTTGAAAGTAGTAATCATGATTTTTTTTTAGTTTCAATTCTCTGTCTGTCAATATACAAAATTTGTTTTTTTTTTTCTAACCGCTTCTTCGGGAGACAAATCTTGCGATTTTGAAGGGCATTTAATTTCGACTAATGCACTCCTATCCTCTAGAACCCTGTCTGGACTAGCAGCCAAGTAAGGAAATTGGTTTGAAATAAAGACACACCGTTCAGTTTTTATATTTTTATTTATTTCAAAACACTTGACAGCTTTTTCCTCACTTTGCTGTCCATAGTATGTATGACTATTACCTCTAAATGTACTGTACAACAGAGACTCCACAGTTTTAGCTATTGCTGTAGTCGGTCTAAGTTTGTAAATACGTCCAAAATTTGAAGCCGTAACACTAATTTCTCTTTCTTTTGCCCAAATGTGCCGGTTGCCTAATGTCTATTTCAATTTGGTCTAAATTCAAAGATAATTATCTCAAAAAAACGTCTTTGGCAGTCACAAATGTTTTTACATCCATTTAAATTTATCATAAGCATCGTAAATTTTTGATTAAAATATATTTGCTCATCCCTCCTAAAAAATGGATGACGCCACCCCAAAATTTTGCTAAATAAATCCTATCTAAATTGTATAAAGTATTATGAGTCTCTTCTTGTGATTTATCATTCCATTCATATTTTTTGGATTCGGATATACAGGGTGACTCAAAAAATTTAATGAATGCGCAAATTTATTTTATTGATTTAATCAGGAACTACAAAACCGAATGCTTTGAAATCTAATGTGAAAAAAACATAATAGGCATGCAGTCGTCACGTTTCCGATAGCGAGGGAAGTACTGTCTAAACTCTTTAGACCAATTTTTTTGATTTTCCCATTTCTCCATTTCTCAATTTTTCAATGTTTCAGTTTTGGATTTTTTCACTGTTTCGATTCTTTAATTTTCCTTCCATTTATAGGTTTTTCAATATTTCAGCTTTGGAATTTTGCAATATTTCGTTTCTTCAATTTTTCAAATTTTTGATATTGTGTTTTCTCGGTTTTTAAATTTTTCGATATTTTAATTTTTCAGTTTTTAAAGTTTTAGGTTTTTAGATTTCTCACTATCTCGACTTTTCGATTTTTCAGTTCCATGATTTTTCAATTTGTCGAATTTTTAAATTTTAGATTTTTTGATTTCTTTGATTTATTGAGTTCTCGATCATTCGATTTTCTGAGTTTTCAGGCTTGGATTTTTTTTGTTGTTCAATTCTTGGATTTTTAAAATTTTTGTTTTTTAAAGTTTCCTATTTATCAACTTACTGGGATTTCAATGTTTTGATTTTTTTATTGTTCAATTTCTCGATTTTTTGAATTTTTAGTTTTTGATACGATTTTTCAGTTTTTCGATTTATTAACTTTACGGTACTTCAGTTTTGCCCGATTTCGATTTCTCAATTTTTCGATATATTACTGTTGGGTTTTTTCAATTTATCGATTCTTCGATTTCTCGATTCTTCATATTTTCGGTTTCTCGAATTTCTTCATTTTCCGATTTCTCAATTTTCCGATGTTTGAGTGTTACGATTTTTTATTATTTTTTTTTCAATTTTCAATTTTTGACGTTTGTAAATTTTTCGATTTCTCAATTTTTCGATTAACTGATTTTTCCATTTCTCTATTTCTCCATTTTTCAATTCTTTCTTCAATTGTGATTTTTCAATTTTTCCATTTCTGAATTTTTCAATGTTTCAGTTTTGGATTTTTTCACTTTTTCGATTTTTTCCTTCCATTTTTCAGTTTTTCAGTATTTCAGTTCTGGGATTTTGCAATGTTTCGGTTCTTCAATTTTTCCATTTTTTGATGTTTCGATTTCTCGGTTTTTCAACTTTTCGATAGGTATTTTAATTTTTCAATTTTTAAGTCCTACATTTTCCATTAATTTTTCTGTTTTTCTTGATGTTTTGATATCTCGATTATTCGATTTTTCAAGTTCTCGGTTTAGATTTTTTGGTTTTCCAATTCTTCGATTTTTGAATTGTTTAATTTTTAGATTGTTCAATTTCTCGATTTTTAGATTTTTCCATTTTTCTGTTTACCGATTTTTTTTCATTAAAAATGTTTCAATTTTTCAATTATTAACTTTTCGATTTTTCATTTTTGGTTTAATTTGATTTCTTAACTTTTTGATTTTTTGACTCCTCTACTGTTGATGTTTTGATTTCTCGATGTTTCAGTTTTTGAACATTCCGATGTTTCGATTTTTCGACTTTTTGCCTTTTCGAATGTTCAATTTTTTGATTTTTGAATTTTAGATTTCTGTTTTTTTTTTTATTTTTTGGTGTTTCGGTTTCCCAATTCTTCAATTTTTCGATATTTTAATTTTTCAATTTTTCGAATTTTTAAATTTTGGATTTTTCTTTTTTTATTTTTCAATTTTTGGATTTTTTAAAATTTTACATTTTTCGATTTTACTATTTTTTAATGCTTGGATTTCTCAATTTTTCAAGTTTTCAAGACTCAATTTTTCAGGATTTGAATATTGAGAACTTTTCAATTTCTGGATTTTCAATTTTTTGATTGTTCAATTTCTCGATTTTTTGAATTTTTAGTTTTTGATACGATTTTTTTTTTCAAAAATTTTCAGTTTTTCAATTTATTAACTTTACGGTACTTCAGTTTTGCCCGATTTCGATTTCTCAATTTTTCGACATATTACTGTTGGGTTTTTTCAATTTATCGATTCTTCGATTTCTCGATTCTTCATATTTTCGGTTTCTCGAATTTCTTCATTTTCCGATTTCTCAATTTTCCGATGTTTGAGTGTTACGATTTTGAATTTTTTTTATTTTTCAATTTTCAATTTTTGACGTTTCTAAATTTTTCGATTAACTGATTTTTTGATTTTCCCATTTCTCTTTTTCTCGATTTTTCAATTCTTCAATTGTGATTTTTCAATTTTTCCATTTCTGAATTTTTCAATGTTTCAGGTTTGGATTTTTTCACTTTTCCGATTCTTCAATTTTCTTTCCATTTTTCAGTTGTTCAAGATTTCAGTTTTGAATTTTTTCACTTTTTCGATTTTTCAATTTTCCTTCCATTTTTCAGTTTTTCACTATTTCAGTTCTGGAATTTTGCAATGTTTCGGTTCTTCAATTTTTCCATTTTTTGATGTTTTGATTTCTCGGTTTTTCAATTTTTCGATAGGTATTTTAATTTTTCAATTTTTAACTCCTACATTTTCGTATAATTTACAGATAAACTTCGCCCCCTTGGTTCACGACCAATAAAGAAAATCATCAGAATTGAGACAGGGTGGGTGGGCGGGGATTATATTTTTCCTTCTTTGTTTATATACATTGTCGTCTTTCCAAAGCAAGAAACTTAAAACATGTTTAAAATGGTAAATTCTTGTAGACAAATATGGATCTTACAATTAAGCCCGTCCCTCGATCTGACAACGATTGAAAAATTCATC